TCAGTATTGAGGAGGGTATTTTTAGCTTATACACCTTGATTATTTATACATGTACCAGTACATCTATATTATCTGATTGGTAAACTCGCATAAAGTGGTTTCACTAGAGACAGACAAATGGAATCCAACAATTCAAAGTTAAATAATAACAACATACAAGATAACACTATTTCATCCACTACAGATAATATTCCTTATCTGAGCTACAATAGAGCATTACATCAAGACATTCCAGAACAAATAAATATAATATCATCTAGTGTAAAAAGATCCATATTTAGCAAGGAAGTGATGGATATATTAGAAAGACTGGTTGACGGTGAAAGAAGCCTTACCTAACATTTGAACATATTTAACAGTGGAATTAGTTAAATTGAATAGTTTTCTGTACTACAACTAGCAATAAAAAAACATTCAAACAGTTTCACAAAAGGACAAACGATAAACAGAAATACGTTGGATTACAATACAACCAAGAGTAATGAGAGTTAACATTTGCTTTAAATAAATAGTAAATTATAGGGTAAAGAGTGGGAAATTTGTTTTTATATAGCTTGATCGTTTGTACGTCTAACATTAAGCAATGTACAATATACCAAATGTTTGTTATTTTAAAAATCATTCAAAAACATAACGATTTGGATGAATAAACAAGTCTTAGAAATATAAGGTACTATGTTGCAAATGTGGCATATGGTTGTAATTAGTGGAACAATGCTCTGCCCGCATGTACCGCCAACTGTTCACGAAGAAGTAGAAACACTGTGTACATTACTTTTCCATACCAGTTAAATAGCTGATACACCTTGCAGGATTAAAGTGATATTTTAGTTTAGTTCTGAATTTATGTTTATAATGGTGACATAATAAAATAGTGGTTTTTAATAAGTTTTCTCACAGAAACATTGCAAACCAAAATCCAAACACTTTTCGTAATATGTACATAATAACAAACTTTTCACTTGACGATCTTATAAAATGCAAAGACAAAAGTGGAAATATTTCAATTGCGAATGTTTGCTGTATACCAGATAGCAATCATAAACAGCATAAAAGAATGTGTATGATGGGTCTCTCATTAGTTTGTAGTGGAACTAGCTAAAGACAACATCTCATTAACAAAAAATTATATCGCAAACATTGCAAAGGTAACATGTACAAATAGTTATCTCGCACAGTTTTATGTCGTATATATAGCTAATTTCTCAAATTTAACAAAATTCCTACTATGTTTCCAATAAAAGAAACAAACTTTGAGTGTATAATATGCATGGACAAAAAAATCGTAATTTACTCTTCTTACCAATGCAAACACTGTTTCGCTTGCGACATGTGTGGATGACAATTTGACAACTGTTGTTACTGTAGTAGATCTCCTATAACTTCTATGATCCAAATGTTTAGTTTAGCTTAGATCTGTATTAGGTTTAAGTTTTCAAAACAATTATATTCCTTTTATGTAAATTTTGATTTTTCAATAAAGAATTAAAAATCAGCATATCGGTACTTATCCCTTTACCGATATGCTGATTTTTTTTTAAACCACAACAATAACCTTGAAAATATCGATCCACCCTAGGTCTGACACGTCAACATGACGTCACCATGCCGTAACCCACCACACCACGTGCTAGGTCACGCACCATTACCACCAGATGCTTAACCGTCAATTAAGCACCACATGGCTCTTGTGACGTCACTCCTCAGCAGCCCTATGTATCCACTACTTCCATGAGCTACATCATGGAAATTTATACTCATTCACCAGTCTCACATAGTTATTGTAAATGTTTACAAATAGTATACGATATTAACATAAACACGTAGTAATATAATTCTAAAATAAATCACAAACGAGTCGAATTATGAGAATGTAAGAACAATATAGAAAACAATAGGCCTATACGAATAGTGGGTCTAAATGTCTCAATTGGTAACTCTTTTTGTAATTCTTCGTGTATTCAGTCCCTATGCAGGATTGCAATTAGTTGCGAGTCGGTGGCTCAGTCGGTAGCGTCGCGGGATCGGACCCAAGGCAGCGGTGTAGTGGGTTCGGATCCTGGTTACTGCCACTAAAATTTATTAGCACAGTTCACCTTTGGACTGTACCGGCTCACTCCTTGCTTTGCTGTAAACGATCCACGCACGGGCGCTTAGTGTATGTGGACGGGCAAATACAAGGTTAAAAGAGGCCGCCAACCTCTTTTTTTTAAAAAAAAAGGTGTGTGTTGTCCTTTGTGTAGGGTGGCCTAAAGAGACACAAAAGACCACAAAGATGCTATCAAAACGTAGACAGCAGAATATTGATGACGTCATCACCATCTGGGAGTTCACCTTTGTGTTGACGTTCCGTGTCGAGGAATTTTATCTTACATGCTGGGAGTTTTATCAGAATTACAATGATACTATGTATATTAGTTCCCTGCAATAAGTGTACAGTCTGTTGTACTGCTAAAGGTTTTACGGTAGTACAAAGATTTCGCCGGGATCATGATGTTAAATAACTATTCTTGAGCAAATGTTCACTTTACTGAAATTATCAGTTGAGGTAACACCCAACAGGAAGATTGGGTTTTAATTCACAGTGAACAAGCAAGGTCCAGTGTTCTGTGTAATGGACTTGGGCTTGATAGATCCTATACAACAAGGCGATGGTATATTAAATATGTTTTCTGGATGTTAGATTGTATTGGATTATTTACAACAAGTGAGAGACGTTTACGACAAATCCGAACATCTCAATAATCATAAAACCAATAAGGAAAAGGATACAAAATTGTTTTTATGAGCAAACAACATGAAGATACGAGATTATATTTCAGTGTAGAATCTGGTAAATTCATACCATTCTATATTCTAAGCATATGTAAATTAAATAAAAACACTCACCCAATAATCTACGGTGTATACAACAAAATTCCCTAAGCAAAATGTTTGTAGATATAAGTATAATCGATACATAGTGCTAAGTAGGCGATTAGCACTGGAGAGTGGTTTGAAAGAGCTTTTTACACATAACGTACTCAAAACAAACTCAATTATTAATGTTCACATCCAGTGCAAGTGAACTATCCGAAAGCTGTTAACATTGCAAAGTTATGAGGGATTAAATTTTGAGTTTTAACTCAAACTAAAAGTTAGTCTAACTTTGAGTATTAGTCAAACCGTCAAACTGACATGTTTCTAAGTTATAATCTCATGAATTTCAGTTTTATGACGCTTACATAAGCTAAAGTATTATGTTAACTAGTCCATTCGCTTGGAACGGTGTTTTATTTAAACTGCATTTAATATTCGATTTAATATTTAATATCTTTGTAAATAAGTAGCTAACTATAAACTAAGAACTAATTTAAAAGTGTATATACGAATCAATGTAAAATGCCGGTAAAATACATACAAACGGGTAAAAGGTCCTTTACGGTTACAATCGTGTATTTAGAATGCGCTTTACGTATTCATTGCATATTGAAGTACATGCTAAGTCTGCCTGGATTTACTGCCTGGTACTACCTGGAAAGTTTTATTTTATTTGGCAAGTATTTGAAAATGATGAGTAAAAATGGCCATAGCCTCAAAGAATACAAAGAAAACAGCCATAAATGTCTGGTGTGTTAATACGTTATATTCAAAAGACAAGAAACCAAACTCTCAAGTTAAGACGTAAATATGATAATGTGATTTATCTGAAAAATAATATACCGATTATGTTTGTATGACACTACTTTTACCAATGCAAACAATTAATGCGCCACTGTTTTGACCTGTCTTTTAAATAACATGCTGTAATAGTATGTATGTAAATAAGACAACAAAAGTGATTCTAAAAATGGTTTCAATGGAGAATATCATTGTATAAATATTTGGTGAGAACATGAATGAAATTTTCGTTTGTTTGATCTCTTGCATAACTTTGGTAAAAAAACGATGCTTCCAAACAATTCTTTTTACTCGTAGGAATGACATTTATGGGGTGGAGTATTTTAACTGAGAACTATGAATTCGGTTATTCTGGTTGTTTTTGCGTGTCACGCGGTATGATGATGTCACTAAAATTAAGGGATGAAACTGTACTTTATATCCATTAATAAATAGGTTTGAAATGTACGATTGTGTTTTGATATGACTATATGTTAAGGTTAAAAACATGTGTTAGTATCTTTTTTCGACTTAACTAAAGGAAAAGTGCATTCAGACGCTTTCCGAAGAGGTTTGGACGATAGCATGGGTTGATTGAGGGGCAAGTTTGATGATTACTGGTTTTAACTCTTATATCAATAAAGTGCACAAAACGCGAGCAGAGTTTTAATACATATTTTCAAACAAAATTAACAAAACACGGATATATTTTATATTATTACAATTTAAAAAAAATCTTGGTTACACCCTTCAAAACTGATGTAACAGGGTACCAGTATATTGGAACTACTAGCAAAAGCTTTTCAGTAACATGTTTCACATTTAATATTTTCTAGTATTAACCAGTAAAGTGCGCTGGTGGCAGGTACGTGGTTTATGCTTTTATTTTTTACAAGCCATAGATACATTTTTCATAAAAATTTTGGGCAGCTCAGTGGTCAGAGTGATTGCTTAATGCTATAAGATTGCTATAAGATGTGCTGTCACAGACAAGGGAAACAAAGTTTTATTTCCTTAGTCAATGATGCTGTACAGCTATCTTTATGCCCCACATTTACATTCTTGAACACATATAATATTTATATTTTGCCAAGCAATATCAGATCGCATAAGTTAATATGTTGGCGGAAAAAAACTGTTAAAATATTAACCCGCAGAAAAAACCCATTATCCTATTTTAAATTCCAACTATAAACTATTTTACGGCGCATTAATTTCAATATATATAAGATAATGCAAATTAATTACTTACCTTATGAGGTCGTAAACATTTAAACAAAAAAGATTTTTAATTGACCTTTGTCAAAAGGAAATACCATAACGAATTAATAACACGGTCTGTTTTCATTTACATCATAAAATACTTTACGTTGAGGGTTTCAAGAATCTATTTTAAGGTAATACTAATTTATTTTATAATTTTTTAAAATTTATTTTATGTCCCAAAGATTTTGTTATAGTACTATATATAGCAGTATAATATTTAAATAGGCTCATAAAATTAAATGCGTTTTTCCAAATTTTACTTTTTAGTGTGGCTTTTTTAGTTGCAACTTATTATAACATTTTCAAATAAAACAAAAGGCTAACTAATAAAATCGTTCGCTTTCTTTCATAATTATGGATAACATAGCTAACTTAATTTTAAACACATAATTGCCTAAATGTATGTTAAATAAAAAAGGAACAATCAAAAGAATCATTTACAAATGGCCGATTTATACTAATACAGTAACTACAATATTTGATGTATTTATGAAACACATTATGATAACTTAGAAAACAAGTTAGGTGAAATAGTAGTAGGCTTTAAATTGGATTTATTCGTAAAATATTTCAGCTCAATTATTGGTCCTGTAGCCAATGTAATATCAAAGTTACTCTCAAAAACTTTACTTTTTTACAATTTTCGTATTAATGTTATAAATTATTAGTATGAGTATTTATTTTAAGTACAGCTTTAAGTTTTACTTTCCTTGAAATACAGGGTGGAAAAAGTCCTGGGACAGTTTAATATAAAAACATTATATAGATGTAGAGCTACAAAATTTGGTACAAAGTTACTGGACATTAAAATCATTATATTACATTATTCGGTGCCTCCTCAGAAGGGCGGCCGGCTAGAAGTCGGGAGAAAATCTCAAATTTGGGCATAGGCTGATAGGTACAGCAAATTAAAAGTATTTATAAGTATAATACAATGCTGCAAATTTGCTTGAATTTAAGATTTTTCTCTTACTATCCCAGAGGAGGTATCGTTTGACTGATTAATGTGTATAAACCATTTTAATGCCCAGTAAATTTTCACCAAGTTTTGTAGTTTTGTCTTTATTAACTTTTTTAATGTTTAGCCGTCCCGGGACTTTTCCCAGCCTGTATAACTGCTTAAATTTACGCTTGGGCATACCGTCCACCCTAAAATTGATACATCTGGCCATTCAATTGTATTTCAGATGAGTTTTGCATCAGCTGTCATTGTGGGACTCGCTACCTTTCTAGCATTCGTTGATGTAAGTATAAAACGTTATTATTAACTGTTTTATGAAATGTTCTGACTTTTTTATGTAGTTCTGTTTAGTACTTGATACGTTTATTTGTAAATAGAGTAATAGGTGTCACAGCCATGTACTTAAAGACGGTATAACCTTTTCAGAATTTCACCAATTTTAATTTAGTGTTATAATATGTCCACTGAGTAAAAAAATAGGCTCGTTTAGTAATATAATTGGTATTTTTTTACTGACCTAATGTGATGCATAACTACATGTTAAGCAAAAAAGTAATTTTTTTAGGTTTTTAATATAATAGTATATTGATAACTAATGTTTTATAAAATACAATATCTTAATTATTCATGAAGTTAATTGTTTTTACTTTTGTTTAGTTCACGATTGCAAAGCCTGAACCTGAACCAAGTAGTGGACATAATGCCTCATAATCTCTTCTCTTCTTAATATAAGGATAAATGTCTCTTGGATCTTACGCAATAGAAACTGCACTTGTGTTATGATCAAGAGAAATAAAACTGTATAAGCTTTAAAAACGTGTTTTCTTAAATCCTGGATATTTCAAACTGGGTCATGAATAACTCACTTATATTAATGTCGAGGTACACTTCTGTAATCTAAAAGTTAAATGCTTACAAATATCTGATATCAGGTATATAAACAATGTTCAGTTCGAATAATCTATACTTTTCCTCTATTATAAGTATAAAATACAAGTCATTTTACGTCCTGTAATCCAGCTACTAGGAGGTCACGAGTTGTGGATATTTATAAGCATGCACTGTGGATGCCATACTCCCTGGTGTGGATTAACGTCCACACTAGTGAGTACTACGACCATCCGCAGTACTATATTGGTAATTAGACCAATTCGGCAGAAATGTGGTTCGGAGTCCACTATAAACAGTAGGTCCCTTATTAGCCATTGGCTGGATGGGCTATTAATTAACAGCTGTGTCTATGAAACATGTTGGCCTTAGTCACTAACAAGACTACAAGATCACGCCACTCAACCTACATTCATCTTTATTAATTTACACTTGGCTTATCAACTGCTTTTTTAATCGAATTTAAATAACTATAATAACAATAATAACAGCTTAAAATAATTTATATTTAGCCAATATGCTAATATAAGTATTGTAACAACTCGTTTAAAGTATAATACGTCTCTTGGGACTAATATATTATTACGGTTAAAACTAAAAGATTGAGACTAAAACTTTATAATGTTTATAGTAATCAGGAAATACATTTTTCCTTCATACTTTATAAAAACTCAGAATAATATATTTATGAAATATGCGTGTTCAACTTTCAATGCTCAAATATAACTTATTTTGGATTGCTATACTTTCTTTAAATCTATGTATACTTTCTTTGAAACTAATTATTTTCAATTACACGAAGTATGTAAAAAGCCTACAGAGCATGTTTGCACTTAAGATAATTGATACCTTCACTATACCAAAATTTCACAACTCATTTTGTGTGTTTTTTCCAAAAAATGATAGTTAGCTAAAACCATTGTAATGATAAAAACAATGACTAATTGATAAAATACCGTTCTGTTGTTAAATAAATCGAATATCTTTACGATTTAATATTAGGTTTATTCCACGTCAAAAGGACTTTCCTCCACTCCACTTTCTTTTCTAAGATAAATATTAAAATTATGCCCTTGTTTGCAATAAATGAATTCTATGTATTTAAAACCAAATGTGTAATTTAATAAATTATTTATTATTTTTGATCGTATAAATTTGAAAGAAAACAGTTCAGGTTGGTATTTCAATATATTTGGTATAACTGTTTTCATCCACTCATAAATAAGAAATAAAAAATAGTATCTTGATAATAGTGGTAGTTTATACTAATATAATATTGAAAGAAGAGATAACAAGTCTGGTATTAAACGTGTCGTCAACAAGGTTAAGGGTGGCTTTTAATATGATATACGAGATTGCAGTTTAGCCAATGATAATACCACTCTATAACTCAGTCCAGATTAAATCTGCATTGAATATTGAGCAGTGTTATAAGGGACTATCTACATGTCAAATTATTCATTTAGGAAATTAATATTGATTATTATTATGATTCACAAAAGCATATAGTTTATGCCTATCTAACTCCCTTCAAAACTGATGTAACGGGATACCAGTATATTGGAACCAATAGCAAAATTCTTTGGAGGTTCATTGTTGGAGATGGTGAATGTTGTTCAAAGATTAATTGCGAACATTTTCCATCAGGATGGTAAAAAAATCACAATATTTCACAATATTTTGGGATCTGGAATCTGATCCTACCCTCAGGCTATAATCCTTAACTATCACAGTACTACTATCAATACACAAAAGCCCAACCTAAGTTATAATACCTTACTGAGAGTAGTAGTCAAATATATGTACAGTATAGCAGTAAAGTAATGATACAAAATGCAAAACATAAACAATACAGTCTAATTGAGACTTTACCGTAGAGCGTTATACAATAACGTTGTGTATTGTTTTTACCATTGTGATGGGAAAAGTCCGCAAAAAACCTTTGAACAATAATGTCAAAAGCTGTTCAGTAATATGTTTCTCATTCAATATTAACAAGTATTAAGCAGTATAATGCGCTGGTGGCTGATACGTGGTTTGTCGTCGTATTAGTTACAATCTAAAACCGTTTTATTTCTTGAATCAACTATTTACCATATACAAATATGGGCAGCTGAATAGTCAGACTAATTGCCTAACTGCTATTAATTGATTAATGAGGGTACTTTAATTTATTACATGTTCAATATTTGTTTATTTATATCATGTTGAAATACATTTATTGACTCCTAGCAAGTAAATATAACTGTAGGATTATGATTTTGTAAAGTTTATTGTTACAAAAGTCCCAGGAATTTATTAATTCATATTCGTAATTAGTTTATCAAACTATTTTAGGTATTTGCTATTATAGTAAATATTATTAGTTAATATATTATTTGAATAACAATAAATGAAAATTTGTAATTAACATTAATTTAAACAAAGGTTTATATTTTGTTAATTCAAGTTATTTATTTGATTTTCAACCGGTTATTGCCTACAACAATTTCCATATTTCCATAATTTCCACCTTATCACTTTGAACTTATAAAGTTTATACTGCACGGCTTTTAATATATCCTTTTGGCTATTATTCTTGATTGAATGTGATATATTTGATTACAGTATTTATTTTGTTACTATCATCATATTAATATTGTGCTTATCTACGCCGTTGGCATTTTGGCTTCAATGTTTGCACAGCACTGTAAAAAAGTTGTCCCGCAGAGGCAAACCAATTATATATTTTTGAGATTTTAAATTATTTATAATTATTCGATGGGGCTTAAATTACACTGTAAAAAAAATATTTTATAAATGAAATTATTACTTACTTTATGGGGTTGTAAACATTTAATTAAATACGATTTTTAATTGACCATTAACAAAACTAAATACCATGAATAATTAATAACCCGGTATGTTTTAATTTACACCATAAGGTACTTTACGTTATCTTTATTACTAGCTATTTACAGTTGGATTATCAGATACATTTAATGACTATTGAAGAAAAGGTATAAATATTTAAACCACCAAAGGATTGCTATTAATTTACTCTGTGAGTTTCAAGAATATAATTAAAGGTAATACGTGGTCTAATTAGTTTTATGGACCAAATATGGTATTATTGAACTATATATAGCATTCTTATATTTAAGTGTGTTCATCACATTAAACAATTTTTGGCCCAAATTTTGGGTTTTCCTCTTTAAATGCAGCAATATTTTTATAGTAAACAAAAGGCTAAATAATACAAAACGGTTACTAACGTTCATGATAATAGAAACACAACTATCCTGTTATCAATTACCATAATCTTCTCAATGATAAGGATAAAAAATAATAGAATCATTTATAAATAGCTGATTTATAGTAATATGACATTTGTGATATTCATACATGATTTGATACGTCTGGACGTAGTAATAAAATGTGTATTACAGATGTATTTTGCATCAGCTGTCATTCTGGCATTTGCTACCTTTCTAGCATTCGTCGATGTAAGTATGGAACATTGCTAATACTTTTTTTATTATATGTACTCAGTTGAGTTCTATTTCAACTTGAAAAATATATAAAACAAAATGTATAGTGATAAACATTACATGTGTAAGTTCAACTAGTCCAAACTTATTTAGGTTTTTTATCAATTTTAATTTAGTGTTAAATCAAATAAAACAACCTTTTTTGTTAGGAATATTGTTTGTAAGTTTTTTTTTCACTGGTTTTATGTAATGTAACGGGTACGATTTTTGATATGAGTAGCTTTTTACCTGTGTGTATCAGTATTGAATATAATATCGATAACATATTAAGTTCCTGTTTTTGTTTAGTTCACGCTTGCGAAACCCGAACCGAAACCTGCAACCGGAACTATGTCTTAAATATAAAGGAATGGAAGCTGCACTAGTGTAATGATCTTGTTAAATAACATTTTATTAAAATAAAACACGTGTTTTTATTGCATCCTGAAAAATAAAAATTGATAGTACAATTAGGACTCCACTTTAAAACTAAAACGTCATAATGATCATATTATCATGTTAATAAATAATAAAATAGTTTCCCGTTTATCCTCTTTAGAAATATACAAAAAAGTCTTATAAAATTTGCATGTAAGATCTTCAAGGCTACAATATTACTTTTCAAATATTATCGTCCAGGATTGGTCACTATAATCACTTTAAAATCGTCCAACACAGCAACTGATTATACAGTACATTTTCGAGCTAAAGATGATTGTTTACTTGATTTTAACTTGATTTTACATTTTACACGATTTGTTACAATACAAACGTGGTTAGGTTAACCAGTTACAATGATAAAAATATTAATAAATTGACAAAATACCATCCTGTAGTAAAACATTTGATATCTTTACGATTATTTAGTGGGATTGTTCTACAGCCAAATGGCCTATATTCTAAAACGTATGTTTATGCCCTTTTTGCAATAAATCTAGCTCGTGCGTCTCAAGTGATTTAATTAATTATTTAGTACTTTTAATAGTGTAATATTTAAATTCAGATTTTTCAGATAAGTACAGTATTTAAAAGCCTTTGAAAAACAACAAACGAAGTATAAACAATCTAAAGAATTATTTATTACTCGTAATCGTATAAATTTTAAACAAAACAGTTCAGGTAGGTATATTAGGCTAATAAATATTTGGTAATAATGTTTTTCATACACTCATAAGAAAGAAATAGAAAACAGAGACACTTAATAACTGAGGTAATTTTTACTAATGTAATATTAAAGGAGGTAATAAATAATCTGCTATATTGTATTAATCGTGACGTCAACAAGGTTAAGGGTGGCTTTTAATATGATAAACGAGATTGCAGTTTAGTCAGTAATAATACCACTCTATAACTCATTCCAGATTAAATCTGCATTGAAATTTGAACAGTGTTGTAGGGAGTATCTACATGTCAAATGATTCATTTTGGACTATTATTATGGTTCATAAAACATAGACTTTATGCATTTTACAATTAGTATTACGAGAAACACAAATATAATTTAAATCATTTTAACAGAATATTCCAGCCCACACTACATTTTTTACCAAACCTAAATAGCTAGACTAGGTAGCTAGGTAGCTTGTACATTCACCAGCCTCAACCATGTGGTTTGTACCTTTAGACCTAAATTAAATTAAGGGTCTTTTAGAATCGATCAACAAAAGCTAGTCAGTAATATGTTGTGCTCTAACAACGTTATGTACCACTTAATAGGTGAGTTGGTGGCTTAGTCGGTAACGTCACGGACTTCATGTCCAAGACAGCGATGTCGTGGGTTCGGATCCTGGTCACACCCCTTGCTTTGCTAGACACGTTCCACGCACGGGCAGTTAGTCTGTGTAGACGGGCAAATGCAAGATCAAAAGAGGCCGCTAATCACAAAAAAAGATGTATGAATTGTGGTCTTACGTTTCGGCCTCGATATACCTACAACAATATTATTATTATTACAAATGATGTTCATGATTTCAAACATACATAAAATATAGTTTTATTTGCTATACAAAGAAATAAAATGGTTACAACTTTTGAAAAACTCAAAAAGTTTCGACACAGATACACAGAACTGTAAATGCTCGATACGGGAACCCCTTGTGGTACGACAGATGTCAATAATGTAGTCAAGCTCTTGCTAGACTTTGAAAAGTGTGTCTTGATCTATTGTTTCGATAGCATTGGTAATCCGTTGCTGGATCTCAAGTATGCTATCTGATAATGGTGGTGTGTACGCCTTATCTTTGATGTATCTCCACAAGAAAAAAAATACAGGGGGTGATGTCCGGAGATCTTGTAGGCCAGTTCAGGGGTGTGTCATTATTCGGACCACCGAGCTCGTTCCATATGTCAGGCAGCACATTGCTAAGTTCAGCCCTACTACAAGTAACATTCAAATGCAGCAATTTCTCTTAAATTTCAAGGGTCACTTGCCAATATAGTGGTTACTAGGAGGATCATCGTTAAACCTGGTTCTAAAGTGTCGTTGCACACTAATAACAGTTAGTGTAAGTTGTTAATGTAATATTACAACTGGCAAAAAGCTTTCCTGACTTCAAATTCAACCATGACACAACACTTACAACAATTGACTTGACAAACAGCTGATATGCACCCAAACCAAGAAACTTTCTGAGTTTTCATTTCCAATGGTACCAACTGAAATAGTCTTGGAACAAATTAACCCAGTAATATTTATAATCAAAATCAGGAACATCATTTGTAATAACCCTGTATAAAGCACCATCCTCAGGGTTACTTGATTCTCCACAAATGATAAATCAAAATTTTATTTCTTATCCGTGCGGAGTCAAATTGACCTGTGAATGGTGCGATACGTCAAGACCGAAACGTAGGATAGTGAGAGTAATGATTCGGTCGATAACCAGAAGACAACAATTCTAGAATAAGTGGACCGTGGAAATCTAGGAAGAACTTAATTTATGTCGGCAGTGCTTACGATAACATATTTAGACCAAAGTTTTACTATATATTTAGTAAGTCAGTATAGGGAATTGAATATACCCATCTAAAATATCCATCGAAGTAGGCCCTACACCATAAACCTTGGTATTGCCAATGTCATTAAACTTTCATACGCTGGGATTCACCTCGCTGCGTCAATCATTTGGGAATAAGGCTGCTGCTAGCAAAACGAGAGGGATTTAAATAGTTAGGGAAGATAAAATAGATAATTTATATTATTATTTTTAGTTAACAGGTCTTAAATTGTCAGACAATTTTTGACATTATAAAACCTCAGCAGTTGATTAATCGAGCAAATTTACATGCAGGTCTAAACAAATTTATATTCTTTATTAAGGGTGGACCATTTAAAGTGTCACAATAGCCTATTTTTTATTATTAGAAGCACAGTTAACTTGTTATTCGACGATAACCTTTATTTTAAAGATGATTTTTGAAAGGTTTTGAATTTCAAAAATATAACCACCGTTACCAAATAAACTATAAATGAAATCTTTAATATTTCTAACTCATCATTGGCTGGTTTTATACATATGTTAACAGTTGATTGAACTTTCAATAAACTTTTGTATGGACTTAACATAGGCTCGTTGATAAATGTTAAGACCTTTCGATGGAAAAAAATTGATTTGGAGAACACAACGATCCAATTCTTTTCCTATTTTGATTTTGATTCATTGAAATGGATTACGTCCAAAATAATTTTGGAATACAGTGGTTACAGTGGTTTGTAGTGAGTCGGTGGCTCAGTTGGTAGCGTCGCGGACTTCGGGCCCAAGGCAGCGATGTCGTGGGCTCGGATCCTGGTCACTGCCGATAACTTATCAGTACAGTTCACCTTTGTACTGTACCGGCTCACTCCTTGCTTTGCTGTTAACGATCCACGCACGGGCGCTTAGTCTATGTGGACGGGCAAATGCAAGGTTTAAAGAGGCCGCAACCTATAAAAAAAAAAAAAAAAAAACTAAAACAACTAGTTTTTTTACTCTGTATCCACTTTTAGGAGGCCATCATTTATTTGTGTTATTTTATAGAAGATAATTGAGAAAAACAAGAAAGTTTTTACGTAAACAAATTATATTCTATACGGTTTTATGTTTAAGTTGGTTTATTAGTATACAGTAATAGCCAATTTCACGTTATCAATTCATGCTTTATTAACTAAACGAAATGCGGCAAAAAGTAAATATAAAACGGTCTTGATGTAACGGTTACTTAGTCTGTTTGACTTAAAGCAAACAAATAACATCAACGTTTGTTGAAGGAGCTTGAAATTAAACACTGCTAACAGGATCGAAATGCAAATAACGCTTTTGAGATTTTCCTTTATAAGATTCCTTTTAATTGTTGTTTACATTTAATTTACTTCTTCGCACATGTATTCAAGCACTTCATATGGTAGATGGTATATATGCATTTTTGAAGTTTTGTAATAAAAAATCATAAGCGTATTAGTATGTAGAATTCATCGTATCCCAGTTGTGATGAGTATACAAATGTTGTCTTCTCGATTGAAGGGTTTCGAAACACTTTGGTTTCTTAATGGTTACTTTTCAGCATTATTACTTAAAAAATAAAAATATCAGGTATCAAAATTTGGCACGCAAGTACCAAATTTGGACAAAATTTGATTTCAAAGATTTTCTATGCAATTCTAGGGAAGATTATTTATTTTGCCTTCGGCACTGAATGATTTGTTATATAGCTGCTCAAAAAAAAAAAACATAATTATATAATTATATTGATAGACTATATGTTTGTAAACCTTTTTGTGTATGAGCTATGAACATGTTTATTAATACAGGATTTACATAAACGTAAGATTGGGTAATAGTTATTCGTTCGTTATGTTGTATTTACACTAAAGTGCACCAAAACATTAAATACAGCAAATTCCCCTTTTTAACGTATACAAACCATAACTTGTGTTTTATTTGTTTGGGGCTGAACGGAACTAAACGTTGCCAACAATACCCCACAAATTAAACATTTTAAACTCCGTTTTCCAGTTTTTACAATAATCTTCACCATATTTGTAACTGTGATTTGAATTTGGGTTTGGCATTAATATCTACAAAAACGTATTTAATTTAATCTTACGATGTGGAACTATAAAACTATTTCTAATATTAATATAATTTTTTTAATTTTCTATTTTAAGTACCACATTTTATGTTTAATAATAAAACTCTTCTCATGTTTTGTAAACCTAATCAATAAAGGGGATTAAAATAAAACCAGTACAATTATTCTCAGTCAACCCAAGCTATCGATTAAACATCCTAGGAAAGCGTCTCGATACAAGTATCCTTTGATTAAGTTGATATAAAAATCTGATACCAACACAGGTTTGTCATGCCATGTAGTCATACCAAAACACAATCGTATATTTCAATATGTGATTATGGTGAAACCAGGATGATAATAAAAGAAAAGCAATATTTTAGCTTGACGGTTTTACATGCAAAATTTACAAGACTTTTTTATTCACACATTTTTATAGAGGAGGGAAATGTTTTTATACTTTATTTATATGAGCATTATAAAGTTTTAGTTTTAAGTGGAGTCCTAAATGTACTCTCAGTTTGTATTCTTCAGGATGCACTAAAAAACACGTGTTTCATTTTCATAAAATGTTATTTCACAAGATCATAACACTAGAGCACCTTCCGTTCCTTGATATTTAAGAGTGAGGACCTTGGCTTGGTTGAGGTTCGGGTTTTGCAAGCGTAAACTAAAAAAATAGGAACATAACATATTATCGATATTATATTGAATACTGATATACGCAGGTAAAACTCACTCTACATACATAAAAACAATGGAAAAAACTAACGAACAATATTTTTACCAAACTAGACTGTTTTATTTAATTTAACACTCAATTAAAATTGATAAAAATCTAAATAAGTTCGGACTAGTTGAAATGTATAAATGTGACGTCTATTGATATAAAATTGGTTTTTATTTAATTATTTATCAGGTCAAAATGTATCTTTATTGAGTACAAATCATAAAACAAGGATTAACTATGTTCTATACTTACATCGACGAATGCTAGAAAGGTAGCAAATGCCAGGATGACAGCTGATGCAAAATACATCTGTAATACACATTTTATTACTATGGCTTAGATGTATCAAATTATGTATGAATAGCACAAATACCATATTATTATAGTCAGCTATATGTAAATGATTCTATTATTTTTTAATTTTATCATTGAGAAGATTATATGATTGATAACAGGATAGTATAGTTATGAGATAGTGATTTATTATTATTAGAAGCCAGTTTTGGCTTCTATTATCACGAAAGCTAGTTTCAGTTTTGTATAATTTAGCCTTTTGTTCCCTATACAAATATTGCTGTATATAAAGAAAAAAATTTTTTAATGTGATGAACACCCTATAAGAATGCTATACATAGTACAATAATACCACCTTCGGTTCATAAAACTAATAAGACTGTTTATTTTAATATTACCTTTAATAATATTCTTGAAACTCACAGAGGGAAGTTATACCAATCCTCTGGTGGTTCAAATATTTATATGTTTTCTTCAATAGTCATTAAATATATCTGATAATCCAACTGTTAATAACTAGTAATAAAGATAACGTAAATTACCTTTTGATGTAAACTAAACAGACCGTGTTATTAATTTGTTATGGTATTTAGTTTTGACAAAGGTGAATTAAAAATTATATTTACTGAAATGTTTACAACCTCATAATGTAAGTAATAATTTATTTATAAAACTATTTTTATGTGATATAATTTATCGAAAAGTATTTTAATCTAAAAACTAAAAAACTATAATTGGCTTGCCTCTGTGGGACAGTTTTTACATTGCTGTGAAAAAATTTAAACCTAAATGCCAACCGTATGGATAAGCACAACATTAATATGAAGATAGTAACAAAATAAAGACTGTAATCAAACATATCGGATTCAATTACAAATAGTTGCCAAAAATATATTTTAGAAACCACGTAATATAACATTTATTAGTTCGGGTATTAAGGTGTTATTTATTAGATATGGAAATCGTTCTAGGCAATAGCCGGTTGAAAATCAAGTAAATAATTTAATTAATAAAATATGAACCTTTGTTTAAATTAATGTAAATACAAATTTCGTATTTATTGTTATTCAAATCCTATAATCTAAAACAAGCACGTGTACGGAAAAACCTTTATTTTCATCCGAGGATTTTAAATTTATTGTGTAATTTGGGGTATTTCGCCACGAGAAATCGTTTGGGGTTGGTCACAAGGCTAGGAAAAATCCTGCTTCCACCCTACAGCCCTTGAAAGTGCCCATGTTAATTTCAATACCTTTTGTAGCTGCAGTTAATGAAACAGCTCATATAGGCTATTCATATTTCAATCTATGTATTGTATAATGACTTTAAAAGGTGTATTAACATTGATACATTGATACCACATTGATACCAGTACATTATAAATACTAATATATTAACTAATATTATTTACAGTATCACAAATACCTGAAATAGTTTGATACACTAATTATGAATAAGAATTGATAATCAAGTTAATAATTGATTAAGAAGGTCCCTGAGACTTTTTACATAATAAACTTTACGAAACCATAATCCTACAATTATATTTACTTGCTAGGATTCAATAAATTTACGTGAAATACGATCTATAAATTAACAAACGCTGAACATGTAATAAACTAAAGTAACCACATTACACAATTTATAACGATTAGGCAATTAGTCTGACTTCTCAGCTGCCCATATTAGTATATGGTAAATAGTTGGAACAAGAAATAAAACTGTTTTAGCTTGTTACTAATACGACGACAAACCTCGTATCAGCCACCAGCGCACGTTACTGGTTAATACTTGTAAATATGGAAGGGAAACATATTACTGAAAATGTTTTGCTATTATTGCTCAAAGGTTTATTTTGGACATTTTCCATCACAATTTATTTGCCACAATTTATTTATTTTATTTAAAAACTGTGGAGGAGGAAGAACCAGTAAAACTGCTCGGCTTTTGGATAGACTCCAAATATAGCTGGAATTCCCATATTGAAAAGGTGTGTGTGAAGCTTTCCCGTGTGGTTTATCTTCTGAGAAAACTGAGATCAGAAATCACTCTAACTTATCTGATGACTGTTTATCATGCCCTATTTCACAGTCATATTACATATGGCTTGGTCCTGTGGGGTCACTGTTCAGCTGCGCAACAGGTCCTACTACTGAAAAAGATGGCACTTCGGGTGATCACATTTGCGGGATACCACGACCACTGTCGCCCGATTTTTGAAGAACGGCAGGTACTAACTGTGTTCAGCCAGTATGTGTATAACATCCTTGGTCTCCTGAAGGAAGAGGAAACTGACTTTGATAGAAGGAGAGACCAGCATACTTATGAGACACGGAATGCAGTAGACTTGGATATGCCCCGATGTCGTCTAAGCAGATCTCTTAAATGCTACCCACGATACGCTATCAGGATTTTTAACACGCTTCCCAAAGCTATTAGGGACTTGAAGATTAAACCTTTCAAAAAGACCCTCCTCAAAGCACTGGTGAAAAGGCCGTTGTACTCGTCGGCCGAGCTTGAAGAGCCACTCTTTCCATCCTGATTTTGACATATAGCTAGACCTAATTAACCCAAACCGCCATGCCACAATTTTTCTGTAGTGTTTGTAAATATTAGTTTTTGTATAAATGGTATATATAAATAAATTGACGCAATATATCCGATAATGTCGGTCAAAGATGAAGACATCAAGTATCAAGTATCAAGTAAGTATCATATTTCATGGTAAAAAAAATACACAACGTTATTGTATAACACTGTACGGCAACGTCTTATATAGACTGTATTGTTTTGTATTTGGTCATATTTTGCATGTTGTATCATGACTTGACTGCTATACAGAGCATATATTTGACTGCTACTCTCTGTAGTGTATTCCAACTTAGGTTGGGCTTTTGTGTATTGTTAGTTGCAATGTGTTAATTAAGTTTTATTACCTGAGGGTGGGATCGGATTCCAGATCATTGTGATTCCGGGATTGTGTACTGTTTTCTTACCATTGTGATAGAAAATGTCCGCAATAAACCTTTGAACAACATTACCTCACCATCACCAACAGTGAACTTCGAACAAAGAATTTTGATATTGGTTCCAATATACTGGTACCCAGTTACTTCAGTTTTTAAGGTAGCTAGAAAAGCATAAATTATATGCTTTTGTGAATCATACAAAATGTCTATAATAATTCTCAAATGAATCATTTGCCATGTAGATACTCCCTTATAACACTGTTCAATATTCAATGTAGATTCAATCTGGACTGAGTTATAGAGTGGTATTATCACTGACTGCAATCTCGTATATCATATTAAAACCCACCCTTAACCTTGTTGACGTAACGTTTAATACCAGACTTGTTATCTCTCTTTCAATATTTTATTGGTATAAATTACAACTGTTATCAAGAGACTGTTTTTTATTTATATTTTATGAGTGGATGAAAACAATAAACCAAATATATGTTGAAATACCTACCTGAACTGTTTTGTTTAACATTTATACGATAAAAAAATATTTATTATATCACACGTATGGTTTTTAATGCATAGAATCAATTTATTGGAAACAAGGCAATAATTAAAATAAATCACGCTCCTTAGAAGAAGTTTACGGTGGAACAATCCTACTCGTAAATATATTCAATTTATTTAACAACAGAATGGTATTTATATGTTGATTACATTTAACTATTTTAATACCAATATCAACATATGGGGGGAACCTTATGCCAAATGTAAATTAATGTAAGTTGCTATCCAACTTGATTATGTGGATAGAAAAAAAATATTTACAGTCAATTTAAATAGCAGTTGAAACTAAAACTTGCTATACCTAAATTAAAGACTCTGTTTTAAAATATGATATTTTAACACTTTAATCTGAAATGGTAACCATACGATCACCAAGTATTTTGGAGATGAGTGTAGCACACATCCTACACTCATCTCCAAAATACTGTGATCTTGTAGTCTTGTTAGTGACTAAAGCCGACATGTTCCTTAGACACAGCTTTTAATGAATAGCCCATACATCCAATGGCAAATAAGGGACCTACAATTTATAGTAGAATCTGAACCACATTTTTGCTTTAACGAATTGGTTTAATTATCAGGATAGTACTGCGTATGATCGTAGTACTTACTAGTGCGGACGTTAATCCACACCAGGGAGTATTGCAACCACAGTGAATGCCTATAAATATCTACAATTCGTAACCTCAGAGTCGCTGGAATACAGGACGTAAAATGCCTTTTTTTATACTTATAATAGAGGATTTGAATCTTGTATAGATGATTCGAACGAAACAGGTTTTATATACCTGATATCAAATACTCTTTCAGCAAGCATTTAAGTTTTAGATTACAGAAGAGGACATCTAAATAAATATAAGTGAGTTATTACGACTCAGTTTGAATTCTCCAGGATTTAATAATACACGCTTTTTATGTTTATACAATTTTATTTCTCTTGATCATAACACAAGTGCAGCTTCCATTGCGGTAGATCCTAGGGATATTTATCCTTCAATTAAGAAGAGAAGAGATTATTACGAGACATTATGTCCATGACTTGGTTCTGGTTCAGGCTTTGCAATCGTGAACTAAACAAAAGTAAAAACAATTAACTTAATGAATAAGTAAGAATTATATATTGGTTATCAATATACTATTATATTTAAAACCAGTAAAACCTCACTTTATGCTTAACATGTAATCATGCATCACATTAGGTTAGTAAAAAAAATACCAATTATATTACTAAACAAGGTTATTTTATTTTACTCAGTGGACTTATTATAACACTAAATGAAATTGTTGAAATTCTGAAAAAGTGATATCTTCTTTATGTACATGACTGTGACATCTATTACTCTATTTAAAAATAAATGTATCAAGTACTAAACAGAATTAAGAAATCAGAACATATCATAAAACAGTTATTAATAATGTTTCATACTTACATCGACGAATGCTAGAAAGGTAGCAAGTCCCACAATGACAGCTGATGCAAAATACAATTTGGTAAAGTTCTAAATAAGTGTTGATGGTTTAGGTACACGACTGTGAAATCTATCGCTATAAAACATGTTCTTTATCAAATAGTATTAAAGGTATCTATATAAGAAAGCGGTACATGTTATAAAACAAACAATAATGATTCATACTTACATCAACGAATGCTACAAAGGTAGCAAGTGTAATAGAAAGGTAACTACTGCCGCGATCAAAGCTGATGCAATAGCCATCTGTAATACGAATTTTATTACTATGGCCAGTTTTACCAACCTATCAGCCAACTACACTTGAACTGCTAGGGTTCACAGATTTTCCGTCAATAACGTGAAACGAACCAATCCCGGTAACGACACAACGTAACAGTATACAAAATGTGAGCCATGACACGCGCACACGTTCCCTACGCGATATCACGTCTATTATTTTGTATAATATCACGTAGTGTCGTCGCCGGAATCTGGTTTTATCGTGTCCTTGGCAGCAGAGCTGTGGACCCCAGCAGTTCACGTCCGCCGTTCTGGCACATGTTTTGTTTGTGTCGTGGCGAGTGGCTGTCATCTTAACAACTACCGTTTTGTTTCCCTTGTTCGTAAAATGACTTGCTTATTTGTTTTTAGTTTTTGTAAGCTTAAGCATTAGGGGGCAAAAGCATGCACACCCCCATTAATTTGTTAATGTGTTACACCAGGAAAGCCAAACTCTGCACACCTCTATATGGCATAAAAGTGATTTTTTATGGTATCCCAATTTTGCTTGAAACCCTAAAATGGGTTATTTTGGAGGCAGCTAAATTTTTTAAATTAAAGCCCCATCAAGTGCCACCTCGTTTTAAAGGCAATTAGTTTAAAAGAAATTTTGGTGAAACCTAGTGATTTCTATCTTCAACCATTACAGAATGAATGTAATTTTTTTACCACCCTGAGAGACCCCATATAAAAATATACATAACTATATCCTATTGACGTTTTTATAGTTTGTAGTAGGTTAACCAAGTTCTGGATTGACGTAAAAAGAAACTAATAACTACTTTTTGGTAGGTATGATCATTTTCCCTCGGATCCCAAAATAGGTTATATTGAAAGCAGATCAAAAAGTTCTTATATAAAGCCCCATCAAGTGAAACCTCATTTTTAAAACCTCAAGTGAAAACACATTTTTTCATAATTTCAAAAACTACCATTTAAAATAATCTCATTGTGGGGTCCTGGTCAAAATTATTACACCGACTAAAAATAAGTTTTTAGTCTGTTCGGTAATACTGATTTTGATTTCCCTAGTACAAGCCATAAAAACGTTAATAGGGAATATTGATGGACATTTTTACATGGGGTCCCTCAGTCTGATGAAAAATAAAAATGTCCGCCATTCTGTCATAGGTTGAGATAGAGACCTATAGTTTTCAACGATGTTTTATAAAACTGGACTTTAAAACGAGACCTTTAAAAGTAGACCTGTAGAACGAGACTTTTGATAGGGGATGATCATACTTTTGCCCTACAAAGTAACAATAACCATGTAACATAATTATAATAATTAATTTTAATATTCAAACATAAAATTAGTTATGAATAGTACAAATGCCAGATTATTATAAATCAGCTATTTATAAATAATTCTATTATTGTTTACCTTTATCATTGACAAGATTATGTGTTTGATAACAGAATAGCTATGTTTCTATTATCACAAAATCTAGTGCCTGTTTTGTATTATTTAGCCATTTGTTTGCCATAAAATTATTGCTGCATATAAAGAGGGAAAAACCATAATGTGGGCAACAATTGTTTTATGTAACTAACACGCTTAAATAAATATAAGAATGCTATGTATAGTACAATGATACCATCTTCGGGTCATTAAAATAATTAGACTGCGTATTTTAGTATTACCTTTAATAAAGCTCTTAAAACTCACAGAGGGAAGTAATACCAATTCTCTGGTGGTTCAAATATTTATACCTTATCTTCAATAGTCATTAAGTGTATCTCATGGTCTAACTGTAAATAGCTGGTAATAAATATAACGTAAATTACCTTTTGATGTAAATTAAACAGACCGTATTATTAATTATTTATGGTATTTAGTTTTGTTAAAGGTCAATTAAAAATCGTATTAAATTAAATGTTTACAACCACATAAGGCAAGTAATTAATAAAAACAGTATTATACAGAGTGTCCCGTAACTAAGCAGCCAAACTCCAGGAATGTCAAGAACACTTTTATTTAGTGTTTTTAATTCCCTATCAAACAACGCCAAGTTCAAAAAGATCAAAAGAAATAGCTTAAATACGAATTTTAGTTGTAAAATGGGGTAGAAAAAGGCTAAGCTAGTCAGGTTTGCCCAAATTTACAACTTGTTTCATAATGGTCGGTTTTAAAAATTTAAAGATAAAAATGTAAATGTGAAAAAAAAAAATATATATATCTGGTTTATAAAGTTTTTTTAGAAAAATGTTAATATTGGTCTTCTTTATATTTTTAACCATAGAACCATTTCCCGGAGATTATCTGTTTACTTAGGGTACACAATGTATATTATAGTTTATGCATGGTTGAATAATTAATAATTTAAAATCTAAAAAAGGATATTTGGTTTGCCTCTTCGGTCCAATATTTTAACAGTTTAACTCCCACACTTGAACTTAAATGCCAGTGGCATTGGTAGACACAATATTAATATTAATGTAATAAAAAATAAAGCTTGTATTTAAACATGTCAGATTGATTTTTAATTTACTCATAGGATATTTTCGGAGCCGTTTATATATTATTGTAAGCAATAACTGATTGAAAAACAAATATATCATTTTAAGTAACAAGATATGAACACGTTTTTACATATGTGAATGAAAAATTCTTAATTAATGTTATCGTAACATATTACATGAAAGCCACCCTTAAACTTGTTGACGTGATTAATACCATACTTTTTATCTCTTCTTTCAATATTATATTAGTATAAATGACCACTGTTATCAACACACTGTTTTTTATTTATTTTTTATGAGTGGATGAAAACAGTAATACCAAATATTTTTTGAAATATCTAACTGAACTGTTTTGTTTAACATGTATACAATCAAAAGTAAAACAATCATCTATTAGATCATGCGTTTGGTTTTATATACATATTCTTGATTTATTGCAAACAAGGGCATAATTCAAACATGCATCTTAGAAAAGAAAGTGGAGTCTTAGGAGGAAAGTTCTTTTGACGGTGGAATAAACCTACTTTTGAATCGTAAAGATATTCGATTTTTTCAACAACAGAACGGCATTTTATCAATTAATCATTCTTTTATAATTACAATGTTTTTTAACTAACCCTCATTTTATCGAACCAAAACACACAAAACGAGATGTGAAATTTTGGTACAGTGGAGGTATCAATTATCTTTAATGCAAACATGTTCTGTAGGCTTCTCACAGACTTCATGCAATTTAAAATAATTAGTTTTAAAGAAAGTATATATATATATATATATATAAAGTATAGCAATAAAAAAGTGATATTTGAGCATTGAAAGTTGAACACGCATATTTCATTAAACATTTTATTCAGAGTTTTTATAAAGTTAGAAGGTAAAATATATTTCCTGATTACCATAACCATTATAAAGTTTTAGTCTGCATCTTTTAGTTTTAACCATAATAATGTATAAGTCCCAAGAGACGTATTATAATTTAAATAAGCTTTTTACTTTTTACTATTTAATTAATAATATTACAATATGGTGGGAACTTTATGCTAAATGTTAATTATTGCAAGGTGTAATTATTGTAATTTGATATCCATCTTGATTATGTGGATAGCAAAAAATATTTACAGTCGATTTTAATAGTAGTTGATACAAAAAATTAATATTCCTAAATTAAAGACTCCATTCTAAAATATTATACTTTAATACTATAATCTGAAATGACGAAAATACGAATGTAGGTATTTTAAGCCCAGTATAAATGGGGATGAGTGTAGGATGAGTGGCGCGATCTCGTAGTCATATTAGTGACCAAGTCCGACATGTTCCTTAGTCATAGCTGTTAATTAATAGCCCATACATCCAATGGCAAATAAGGGACCTACAATTTATAGTGGAATCTGAGCCACATTTTTGCCTTAACGAATTGGTCTATTATCAGGATAGTACTGCGGATGGTCGAATTACTTACTGGTGCCTAGTAGGTGGAATGAAGGACGTAAAATGACTTGTATTTTATACTTATAATAGAGAAAAAGTAGGCATGATTCGAACGAAACATGGTTTATATACCTGATAACAGATACTCATCCACAAGCATTTAACTTACGTAAGAGGACATCTACATCAATATAAGTGAATTATAAAATGACTCAGTTTAAATTCACCAGGATTTAATAAAGCACGCTTTTAAGGCTTATAAAGTTTTATTTATTTTAATCATAACACAAGTGCAGCTTCCATTGTGGTAGATCCAAGAGATATTTATCCTTATATTGAGAGAGGAGATTATTATGAACAACCAGTTCCACTCATCGGTTTAGGTTCAGGTTTTGCAATCGTGAACTAAACAAAAATAAGAACAATTAACTTCATAAATAGTTAAGATCGTGTATCTTATTATATATTAGTTATCAATATACTATTATATTTAAAACCCGTAAAACCTCACTTTATGCTTAACATGTAATCATGCATCACATTAGGTTAGTAAAAAAAATACCAATTATATTACTAAACAAGGTTATTTTTTTACTCAGTGGACATATTTTAACACTAAATTGAAATTAGTGAAATTCTGAAAAGGTTATAAGTCTAAATACATAACTGTAAAATAAACGTATCAAGCACTATACAGAACTATATTAAGAAGTCAGAACATACCATAAAAAAGTTATTAATAATGTTTTATACTTACATCGACGAATGCTAGAAAGGTAGCAAGTCCCACAATGACAGCTGATGCAAAAGTCATCTGTAATACGAGAGCAATTATTATGGCCCGATATATCAACTTTAGGGTGGACGTTATGCGCTAATGCGTAAAGCTTAGTAGGTATAAAGGGTAGAAAAAAGCCCCGGGACAGCTAAACTTTAAAAAAAATTAATAAAGCTAAAACTAAAAAATTTGGTGAAAATGTACTCATAAAAATAGTTTATATACATTAATCAGTGAAACGCTAACTCTTCAGGGATAGTAAGAAATAAATCTTAAAGGTAAGCATTGGTCAAAATGCACATAAAAATTACAGGTCTTTTTAGTAGAACACAATGCTGCAAGTTTGAATTCAAACGGACAACCAAGATGAAAATCGCAGTCGTTCAAAGATTCAAAAAGGTAGATCCATGAAATCTTTGAAAAGCTGCCATTTTCGACTTGGTTGCCCGTTTGAGTTCAAATTTGCAGTATTGTATCATACTAATAAATACCTTTTATTTGCTGTACCTATGCTCGAATTTGAGGTTTTCTTCTGACTCCTAGCAGGACGATACCCTGACGAGGGTAATAATTGAATAATGTGTCAAAGGGATTTTAATGTCCATTATCTTTGTACCAAGTTTTGTAGCTCTATATTGATAATTCTTTTTATATTAAACTGTCCCAGGACTTTTTTCCACCCTCTATTTCACGGAAAGTTAAACTCACAGCTATTCTTTCAGGTAGTTAAAATAAATACTTCATAATAATAATTATTTATAGCTGTATAAAAATAGACAATTTTTCAATGGTAAAAAACTTAAGATTATAAAAAGTAATTTTAACGGTTATAGCTTAAAACAAAATCCCACCAAAATTATAGAAAAATGTTTGAGAGTTAGTATGATGTTCCATTTAGTACTGGTAGCTGGAATATTTTAGAAACAGAGCCAATTAAAAGCCTACTGCCACTTTACCTCACTTGTATTAAAAGTTATCATTATGTGTTTTATAAATACATCAAATATTGTATTTACTATATTACTATAAATCAGCCATTTGTTAATGACTTTTTTAAATTTTACATACATTTAGCAAATTATGCGTTAACTATTAAGTTAGCTATGTTATCTATAATTTTGAAAGCTAGTTATCGTTTTATATTAGTTAGCCTTTTGTTTTCTGTGGAGTTTGTATAAAGAGCTGCAACTAAAGAGGCCTCACTAAAAAGTAAAATTTGGGTAAAACACATTTAATTTGATGAACATATTTAAAAATATTAGACTGCTATACATAGTACAATAACAAAATGTTTGGGACATAAAATAACTTTAAAAAAATTATAAACAAATTAATATTACCTTAAAATAGATTCTTGAAACTCTCAGATGAAAGTAATACCAATCCTCTGGTGGTGCAAATATTTATATGTTTTCTTCAACAGTCAATAATTGAATCAGGTGATTAAACTGTGAATAATTAGTAATAAAGATAACGTAAAGTACTTTATGATGTAAATGACCGTGTTATTAATTTGTTATGGTATTTCGTTTTGACAAAGGTCTATAAAAAATCTTATTTGTTTTAATTGTTTACGACCTCATAAAGTAAGTAATTAATTACATTATCTTTTGTATATTGAAATTAATGAGCAGTAAAATAATTTATAATTTGAATTTAAAATAGGATAAATATTTTTCTTCTGCGGGTTATATTTTAACAGTTTTTCGCCAACTTATTAACTAATGCAATCTGGTATTGCTTAACACAATATAAATAACTAATGTGTTCAAGAATGTAAAGGTGGGGCATAAAAACAGCTGTATGCATTTAGCAATATTATAACATTCAGGCAATCACTCTGACCACTCAGCTGCCTAAAATTGTAAAATGAAAATAATTGGAACAAGAAATATCACTGTTTTAAGCTTAAGAGCATAAGCCACATACCAGCCACCAGCGCACTTTACTGGTTAATACTAGTAAATATTGAATGGGAAACATATTACTGTAAAGGATTTGCTAGTTGTTCCAATATACTGGTACCGTGTTATATCAGTTTTGAAGGGAATAGACAGTAGGGGTTTGTTTTATTGTAATAATATAAATTTTATCTGTGTTTTGTTAATTTTGTTTGGAAATATGTACTATTATTAATGCTCAACATAGTCAGTAAAACAAACTTACAAACTATGTTACTAAACAGTGTCATTTTATTTTACACAATGGTAATATTACAATACTAAATTAAAATTGTTAAAGTTCTATATAAGTGTCACTAGTTAATGTACATGACTGTGAAATCTATCACTATAAAACATGTTCTTTATCAAATAGTATTAAAGAGATCTATATAAGAAGGCAGTACATGTTATAAAAGAAACAATAATGATTCATACTTACATAAACGAAAACTACAAAGGTAACAAGTGTAATAGAAAGGTAACTAATGTAGCGATGAGAGCTGATGCAATAGCCATCTGCAATACGAATTTTATTACTATGGCCAGTTTTGCCAACCGATTAGCATATAACTTTTGTGGTTTAATACGTGAACAGCTAGGGTTCACAACTTTGCTACCATATTATCCTACCGATACTGTGAATAACAAAATATTATGGTTCAAGAATTAGCCTGATGATCCACTGGACCAATTGAGCTTAAAAATAGAGCCAAAATCACTACTAGCTTGCCACCTCATTGGCTTCCAAATAGCTGTAATATGTTTAATGAATGCGCCATATACCACATTATTATAAATCAGCTACTTGTGAATTATTATATTATTTTTAACTTTCATCAATGAGAAGATTATATGTGTTTGATAACAGAATGGCTATGTTTCTATTATCACGAATGTTAGTGACAGTTTGGTATTATTTCGCCTTTTGTTTACACCGTACTATAAAAATGGCTCTTTGTGAACAAAATGGCGGCCATTTAAAACTTTTAAATTCAAATTACTCATAAACGGCTAACGTTATGAAAAAATATCACGAACATTTTTATTTAGAATTTTCAATTCCCTATCAAATGATACCAAGTTCAAAAAGATCTAACAAGAAATAGCTGAAATATAACGATTTTTATTTGTAAAATGGGGCAAACCTGATTGGCTTCTGCCTTATTATACCCCATTATACAACTAAAAATCGTAATATTTCAGCTATTTCTTATTTGATCTTTTTGAATTTGGTATCATCTGATAGGGAATTGAACATGCCAAATAAAAATGTTCATGGCATTTTTTTCATAACATTAGCAGTTTTTGAGTAATTTAAGTTAAAAAAATGAAAATAGCCGCCATTTTGAACTTTTAAGTTGAATCAAGATGATTTATTTTCTAACATTGGTCTTTTTTACCTTAACCTACATACCAAGTTTTATAAACATCGGTTGAAAAAGCTCAAAAATAAAAATGTTTATGTAAAAAATACAAAATGGCGGATATCTGGTTAACAAAGCGATTTTGGTAAAACATTTAATCTTGATTTTGATTTGATCCTTCCAATGCACAGGAGCTGAAAAAAGTTTTCAAGAAACTCGTTTATCTATTAATATATAGAATTAGCCCCATGTTAAATCTTCATATGTAAAGTTTAATTTTTTATTTTTTACCCAATCAATATAACTATTTTCAAAAGACAAATAAAATCCGCACATGTAGGACCAATAACCTTTCTTTTGGTACAACCCGCGTGTAATTCGGTTCAGTAGAATGGTCAGGCTAGCTGTCATAAGTTTTGCAAAAGTTTTTAATGTATAAGATTGATCCGTTTTTTTTTTAGTTACGTTAAGGAACCCTCAGACGACACAGATCAATATACATTGTAAATCTAATCTTGGCTGAGGTGCATGAGTCCTATTACCACTATCCAAAGTACAATCTCATATATCATATTAAAAGCCACCCTACTCTTCATGCAACGTTTGAAATATAGCGTCAGATAATAAAGTGGCTTTAATTCACTTCCTTCCCCAATATAGGTATTTTTTTAGTAACATTTTATTTTTTCATTTGTTATATTAGTCGAGGTCCTACATCACGAAAATTTATGATGTAGAATAGGAAACAATGTTGAATTTCCTACATACTGTAGCTTTATATAAAATGAATGTTTTACAAAATGTGTAAAGAACGAAGATGTCCTTTGATAAACTGGTAAAAACGATATAAGCTACTATTAGTCCAGTTTGATATTCAAAGCATGTTCTGCTCAAAGTCTGTGAAACTTTGTGACAAATGATGTGTAGACAGACAACTTACAGGGGGTTGACGTGAACAAATTTACATTTTGTTGGTAATCAGATTGACCAAGAAAATCCATAAATCTCTTCAAAGTGTCCTAGAAGGTGTGGGGTGGCTATAGTTGGTGGACCTATCGGGAGTCCCATATTTCTGCCTCTGTAACTTTATTTTTTGTGTTTTGAGACTGATCACCTCACATAATTGATTTTGAGCGCCCATATGGATATGTATTATGGAAGACCATAAACAGAACTGATTTCTTTTTTCTGAAGGATCGTTTAAAATGATTGACAACACTTATCTACATACTTACTAATAAATTATAAACCGTATTATTTACAATTTGAAGTTAAATACGATTCAAAACGAAACGTTTGTACAGGGTGTTTATTTTTTAAACTTGCATCTTTATTTTTGGAAAAAACCGCAATAGATAGAAAAATGCAGTTGAAAAAAGAAAATTTTTGGCGAAAAAAAATTTAAAATCGGCTTATGAATTTGTGAGATAATCCCCCCCTTTTCCCCTACCCATAACTTGTTTTTTTTAATAGCAAGGTACCCACCCTTGTGACATATCAAATGAAAAATAAATTTCACCAAACATTTTCTTTTTTCATGCTCTTTCATTTGATATATCACAAGGGGTACCTTGCTGTTAAAAAAAAAAATAAGTTCCTGGGTGGGGGAGGGGGAGGGGGAGGGGGAAATATCTCGCAAATTTATAAACCGATTTTAAATTTTTCTTCATCAAACATTTTCTTTTTTCATGCTCTTTCATTTGATATGTCACAAGGGGTGCCTTGCTATTTAAAAATAAATATGTTGGTGGCAGGGGGAAAGGGGGGGGGAATGTGAATGTAACGTAGAATTCAAAAAAATTGTGCCCCCTACGTCAATAGATGATTTCCGCAAACTGCATATTTCTATTTATTGCGGTTTTTACTTAAATAAAGATGCAAGTTTTTAAAAAAACATCCTGTATATTAATACGTGTAATTTAAAGTATAGTAGACGAAACAATTACCCCAGGATAGTTAAAAAAACAATAATTAAAACCCCTTTTCTACTAAAAAATATGGTGTAAAAAACTATAAGTTGAGTATCAAATTATTCACGTCAACATTATAACAATATAATTAGCTAAATCTATTTTAGGTTTAGAACAACATATACTTATACGAAAGGATAATTCGTTATCCATTTCAGCTTGTAGGTTGTTTATTAGGAGAGGAACAGATATCCTAAAATAAAATGCTATTAATTGAATTATGTCATTGAACCATGGTGAATCGTATTATAAACTGTTTTAAAAGAGACGTCTTTGTTAATTATTGATGTGTATACGTTTTTGCTGCCTTGTAATTTGAAATCTTTAAGAGACTTGCTTTAAAGTTAGTATTATTTTAAGCCAATCATGACTATAAAATCATTTGGGTCTGTATGATTTGTACTTCAGGCATTAGTTGTTACTTATTCAATTTATTTAAGAATTACATACCTGCAAGATTTTTGTACCAGTCTATTTTGAGAAGAAATTATTTAAATAATCTTGTAGCCATAAAAATATTTTTTTTAAGACTACTTAGACACTTTTTAAACCAGAGTACTTATTTTATATTTTTAACTGTTGACTTTGAGAATGATCAGTGGTATAGGTTTGTAGAATATGGCATTTTAAACACATGCAAAAGTTTTAAGAATATATATATGACTATAAGTCACAGTTACATATGTGTGTGGTAGTTTGCATATGTGATCTTAGTTTGTCATTAGTTGTTCTCAAATGCATATTAAACCTGTAACTAATTTAAAATCATCAAAAGAGGAATAAAAGTATTAAATAGCACTTGGTGTGATTATTTGTTTAGCCCATTAATAAGAATCCGATTCCCTACTTGAAATACCACTTTTTCATTGATTCCTTACTACAAGCACCACTTTCGTGCTTGAATGTAAAAGTAACCACATTAGACCTAGGCTACTAGGTTCCAAAAGAATCTAGGCTATACAAAACACTTGATTATGTTCTTGGTATTATTTGGTTGTTAATTAAATATTAAGTATATCAATATCAACTTATATTACAATACTGTTTCTGAGGAATCAGGATCCTAAACATGTTTGAACTGGATGAGGATGTTAGTTTAGGATATTCCGAAAAATCCTTTCCACACAGGGCGATCTTGTCATATGGTTGCCATTAAATACAGTATATGCCTTTTTATATATTTTTAATACAAACACGATAATATCATTTCAGTCCAATACGAAATGATACTATTTTTATTCTTACTGAATGGACCTTTTGGTTTTGAGCTATTAATCGTTAATTTTATATTGCAACATAGTTGCGCAAAAATTAAATAGTCCTCTTAAACAGTAAACTGTAAGCCATTATTCATGTGTTTTAATTTACTCACAACATTTAAACCATCTACACCTCTAAATGCAAGTACAGTAGTAAAAATTGTTCTTAAAATGTTGGTTAATACATTATTAGAGGTATTATTATTTAAACCATTAGTAGTGTATTGCCCAATATTTTAAGAAAAAATTTAACTAATTGCATAAAGATGTTAAGAAAGTGCTTTCTTATGAAAACAGGAACGTTTGTGAGTCAATCTGGTGTTCTACAGACCAATAAGAATGGCGCAAAACTAAACGGTTATGTCCTTTCCGTGATTTCATACAGCTGATTGTTACAATGGAAAAGGCGAGTTTAAGAGTTTGTTTGACAAGGTTATGTTTTGTCTCAGTTACTTAGCTGAGTACTACGACTCCATAATAAATGGTCATTACAAAACAAGAAAACATGTTGTGTTTTAGAGTTCGCTCGTACTATGCTATTGATAGGGTTCAACTGATATGATTTTAAAGACAACTGGATGTTTATGTGTCGGACAGAGTTCCAGCCGTCCCCAACCTCACCAGACGCTTCATTACATCCAGAGAACTAATGGAATGTTTTTGATAAGTAAACGATTGACAAAAAACACAATTTATATTATAATCGTATCAGTAATTTTTGTTGAAGGATGAAACTTATGTTTGGATCTCAATAGGATATTTATATTATTGTAATTTGGGGGATATAATTTTATATTAAGCCTAATAGTTAGTAAATGGAAACTTGTACTTAAATATTGAAGCATTGAAACTCTGTAAAAAAAGATGTGAATGAGTTTATCTTAATTAATTACTATCGCTATTCGTTAAAATCTTTAATTATTTTCTTGAATTGTGCATAAATCATAAATTACTTACTGTATTGTATTTTATCAGAGTGTCACTAATTAATGTTAAGGTATGATTGTTATCTATACTATACACCACTTAAATTGGTTATACTGCCAATTGAATCACCTGATGTATTTTATGACAGTTGAGAAAAGCATATAAATATTTGAACCTCTAGAGGACAGATATAACATTTTACTTTGAGCTTCAAGTATCTGATTCTACAACCGTAAAGGTAGTATGAGTAGCTACAGCATAGTACGATTTGAATAGCGTTATCTTAACATATTAAGGCTTATAAATAAGTTTTTGTATAACAATTTCGAATCAAAAGTAAATTCAAAGTATTAGAAAATTGAATGAGCACTAATTATTTATTTGTTTTTTTACATTAGCATTTGTATTATGATGATGCAATGTATTTAGTTGCTCCCTACCATTGACGATACAGACATGTATTTAATATAACGTTTGTTACAGATGAAATTTGCATCAGCCTTCATCGTGGCACTTGCTACCTTTATGGCATTCGTTGATGTAAGTATAAAACTTATACATGCTAATTATAACATTTTAAATTGCAACATAACGGTTGCTGTTACGTACAATCAAGTGTTTTAACTACAATTTCTATGAGTTTTTTCATTCAAATATTTTTTTTTAAATCAAATCAGAATGCAATTTTTTCATCATTGTTACAATAATATTTCGTCTTACAAAGAACCCATATCAAGGCCAACCTTTGCTAAACAAATATATTCTCAATATTATTATATGTATTTAATACTAAAAAATAGATATCCTAGACACGTTTAAAGAAATATTGCACTTATTTTGCTTCAGTTCACGGTTGCCGAACCTAAACCTCAACCTCCAGACCCAGACCGGTCAAATTGGCGCCATTAGCTAACTGCATTTCTCGATGTAAGTATGAAATATAACTAAACTATTTTAACACTACGTTAACATTTGTTGTATTCTTGCTGCAGTTGATGTAAGTATACTACGAGTTCAACAATAAAATAGGAAATTAAATATAACGATAGCTGTTAAGTGTGCCTACATTTGAGTGTTAACTACTGTTTTTTCTAAGTTATTTAGTTTTTCAAATATGTTTTTGTGATAAATAAAACTGATAATCTTTTAAAGAATGGTTTTACATACGATTTTTCTAAAGTTTATAAGGCAATAAACAGAAATCTAGATTCATCTTTACTAAAACATGGATTCTTATAAGTGTCTTAGAACTACCGTGTAAATATGTAATAATATTTATCTCATGTAAATAACAAAAATAACCTTTTCTTACCTATACTTACCTAAAATTACCTATAGTAAATTAACCTAACCTATCCTAACCTGTACTAACCTAACCTAACCTTACCAACCTAACCTAACCTAACCTATCCTAACCTAACCTACAAGTTAATTGTAAACTAATACGTATTGTTATTGTGTCTGTTTAGTTCACGATGCCAAACCTGTCCACTCTTGAACCTGATGTCATGCAAGATTTACTTGTTTCGCAATAAAGAGAAATAAAACTTCACGAAAATATAAAATATGATTTTTATTAAACCCTAAACAAAATCACAAAATATATTTAAATCTCACTTAAAAGAATTTAATGGGTAACTGATGTAATCCAAAAGTAAAATGATTACCAAGCGTGCATGATGATAAAAAATTAAAGTAATTTTAGGCATCGTATGATATTTGCATCTTTCACGCTCTTAAACTAAATTTTGGACCGAATTTTTAACTTAAATATTTCGAAATTCCTTTAATGCAATTACATCACAATGTTTGCTTAAGATAGAATAAAAAGTATAAGTGTGTTATAATGACACTTATATAATATAATGATATAATGATGTGATATAAGTGTGAAGTGAGCTGTGCTGACTGAACAAGCTAATTCCAATTTTGAGTTTTCCAATAGTTAATATACTATATGAAATCTAAAAAGTTTACCCAGGAATAAGCCAGGAAATTCATAGCTATTACCTAAGCAAAATGGTGATTAGCTACAACCAAGCCAATAATGTGGACACCCTTAATAAATATTTAAAATAACATTTACAAGTTGTGACTAAATGTGAAGTACAAACTCTTTGTTCTGAATTTCATTAAGTTCATAAGAACAAATCATATTTTAAAGGGTGTACTAATATAGTTTTGACATATGGTTTATTTACAACTTAAATAATAACATTTAAATCGTTAGACGTTTTACCTTCAATGTATTCATACAAATTAATTATCTGTAGAAATAGAGCATATGTGGAAAACTACCATAAAGTAGTCTCTCAATTATACCTAGCTTCACTTCCTTTAAAAAAAAATCTTCCCCAAATCTGTGATATAGATTATAGTTGGCGTTATTGAGTCAACGTTTGATTATAAATCAACATTTACATCATACAGTATCATACAGTATCATAAGTATAGTATACTGTGTGAACTTTCGATGGAGGATGGAATGTACTTGTGCAACAAACATTTGTTATAACAAAAAGAGTAAATATTTTTACATCACAATATATTATGCCTATCCTCGCCATTCGTAAAGTATTTAATTATTTAACTTAACTGTGCACAGATCATAAATTGTGTACTCTATTGTCTTTTTGAGCGTCCCTAATTAACATTACGGGCTGGTTTTAATATACACTATACGGCAATTAATTATTCATATTCAATCACCTTTATATATTTTTTGACAATTAAAGAAGTCTTCTAAATATTTTAACCACCAGAGAACAAATATAATATTTATCCTTGAGCTTCAAGTATCCTGTTCGACAACGGTAAAGGTAATAATGAATAAACACACTAAAGGGCGATTTAGTTCTTTGTTAATAGCGTTATTTTAACAGGATAGGGTAGTTTACTATTTTTCTTTTATTTTATTTTATTGCCCAGTGCTACAAAACAGTACATGCCAATTACTTTGTGGCATTAATCGTGAAAAAGAATGTAACCAAGAGTATTACAATATAGAAATAAATACAACAAGGAAAAAATGTCCGTCTTCTATGGTGGCAGACATATTACAGTTTCACTTAAAATATAAATAAAAGAATATAAATATAAAATATAAATAAAATAATAATACATCATTTAAAATATACAGTAAAAAGAGAATTTATACTAACTAAAATAATACTGATGGTCATGAATTAAATATAATAAATAAATATACAATAAATATAATATAACAAATAAATAGGCAATATTTAGAAAAATTATTAGGTAACGTTGATAAGAAAGTTAAAATTAATTTGAAAAACACACATTAAAAATGTTTAGTGATAAGTAAAATATATCAAACTGATAGGCATTACAAGTACGAGACATTATATTTAGTAGGGAATTGAATCCAAGATTGGTACGAGAGTAACGAGGGGTAAATAAAAGAGAGCTGCGTGAATTGTGTCGTGGAACGTGAAAATTGATTTCTTCCAAGGCGGCCAACCTACTTTTGTCACTGAGACTCAAACATGGTGACCAAATAGTTTAAAATACACAAATCTTAAAAATCTTTTTGTATTATAGCATGATTTCAACATATTTAGCAGTCCATTATAAACAAAACATTTTTGTATCCTAATTTTTAATCAATATTTGAATGTAAGCCAAAATCAATGAAAACTTGAATTAACACTAAACCCTCCATTTTAATTTTGAAATAGAATGTGGACAATAAGACGAAGCAATGTATTTAGATGCTTCTTAACTATTATGGTACATCCCTAAGTCTAGACATGTATTTACAGTAATGTAAGGTTTATTACAGATGAATTTTGCATCAGCTTTTATCGTGGCACTTGCTACCTTTTATACATTCGTCGATGTAAGTATAAAACTTACACATTTAACATTATATTTACTAATACATACCAGCTTCTTGTTCTGTTCATTCTAGGAATATGTCAATTAACAACATCTTAAATTTTTCTGAATAATAGCAGATTATATATTATAGTCTAATATTTTTATTGACAAGTATTTTAACAGAAATTTATCAATTCGAATTCAATGTTATTATTGTTTTATTGTGTAAAATAAAATCACCTTGTATTTTAAGTAACGTTTTTAAAGCGTTTCCAATTCTGTTTAGTAAGGCAATTCAATGATAATAAGTAAAGAATTCAAGTCAAGATTACCCCAATCGTTATTAAGAAAATGCATTCACAATCAATTCACTCTTATTCAATGCAGAAATCTGAAAAAAAACTTGATTTAAAAGTAATATTGTTTTTATGTCTTTTTAGTTCACGATTGCCAACCCCATACCTGATCACATAGAAGGAGATAAATTTAGTCCTTGGGGGCAGTACATGATTAATAAGAAATAAAACTCTACAAATAAGAAAGCATTTTTATTTAATCCCAAATCTATCAATACGCTACACATTGTGAACAATCAGGCTTTTTTGTTTTAAGATTTTATCCTACATAACATATACCAAAATGTTTGTCTAGGTGTGAAGATTTGCCAACTGACCTTTCATTCGTGAAAAAAACCCTTGGGGTGTGCCCCAGTGGCTAAAAAGTTCCGCTTTTATCCTAAAGAAGAACACATTTGTTTATTTTATGATCAGCTAGATAATTTAATTATTTTAGTACATAATTATAATCGTAGAAACATAAGGAAACGTGTGCTTCAAACATTTACTGACATAAATGAAATGAAATATTACTATTCGAATTTGGATTGGCGTTAATATTACAATAGAAAAAAAACAATCAAGCCTGGAAAATTTGATATATTGTACTAAAACTTAAAAGAAAACTGAATTTACACTGTGTTGCATTTCTTGAGCAATCATTGAAAGAGCTAATTTGCAAACTATGGAAACATATAAAAGTCATAGAACACCTTATAGAAGAAATAGAAATGAAGTTTTTTAAATTTATAATCGTTATTATGGACAGCCTAATGCGGCTATGAGTGGAAAACATTTGTAGAAAACTCAAAAGATCAGCTTTTGGAAAATGATAGGATATTTACAAGAAATTTTGATTGTATCGAACTTATATGTACATCGTGAGTCGACTCTTTTCAGAAATTATGAATGTTTTATAACGCCTATAATACTCGAATAGGAGCAACAGGTATACTAGTAGTATATAAAGTGAGTGATTGTTAACTCAATAATAGTAATTTAGAGTTTCATATTTTGAATCAGCAATTTAAGTGTATGACACTTTTTAACAGATCGAGACTACTTATGTTTGGATTAGGTGAGTATAATTATAAATGAAGAGTCAGTGCAAATTACATTTGACGTTTTGTAGAGTTTTGCTAGTGACCAAGTCAGCTGAATTCAAAGTTGATCCATAAAATAGATATAACATTTCTTCAGGATTGTGCTGGTAACGAGATTGGGTTGAAAGTGACGAAAAGAGGGGTTAAACAGTCGTCTCACTGAAAATCGAATCAAAATCAAAGTAAAAAATAAAAAAAAGGCAACTGGATGTTTGTGTGTCGGACAGAGTTCCAGCCGTCCACAAACCTCACCAGACGCTTCATTGCGTCCAGAGAACTAATGGAACGTCTTTGATAAGTAAACGCTTGAGAAATAAACGATATCAGCATTCCGACACATGCTTTTTACTATAAGTTTGCCAACAACATTTATCATGTGTAAGCGGTGAGAGTAAATATTCGGAAATGGGATTGGTACAATTTTGATCAGAATTTAAAGGACTATAACATACTAAATTTTTATCAAAATCGCTCGGGCCATTTTTGTGAAAATCCGATTTTTCCGTTGTTTTATGGGAAAATAACGTAATTTACAATAACTTTTGAACCGTAATTTTTAAAGAAATGGGAATTGTACCATTTTGTTCAGAGTTAAAAGGGCTGCAACATACTAAATTTTTATCAAAATCGTTCTGGCCATTTTTGAGAAATTTCGATTTTGCCGGTTTTTTATGGGTTTTTATAGGAAAATACACATTAAAAATCAAAATTTCAAAAAATGAAAAAAGCACCTGGAGATAACATGGATTAGAACCTACATACCAAATTTCATCGAAATCGGACTACAGGTGTAGTCCCTAGCTCTGTACACATCCAGACACACAGACACAAACTTCGAAAACCACTTTTTTGGGTTCAGGGGGACCCTAAACGAATATATCCACTCAAAACTCAAAGTAAACATTTTGACGAAAACAATACTTTCTCCATATACTATGGTATAGGAGGAGAAAGTAAAAACACAATTTATATTACATATGCATAAGAATTTTTTGTTGAAGGATGAAACTTGTGTTTGGATCTCAATAGTATATTCATATTATTGTAATTTGTGGGATATTATTTTCTATTAAACCAAATAGTTATTAAATGGCAACTTGTACTTAAAACTATATTTAAACTTTAAAACATTGACACAATAAAATTTGTGACTGACGTTATCTTTAATTGATTACCGTCGCTATTCGTTAAAATCTTTAATTTTTACTTTCTCCCCCTATACCATAGTATAGGGAAAAGGTATTGTTTTCATCAAAATTTTCGAGTTTGAGTTTTTAGTGGATATATCCCTTTTGGGTCCCCCTGGACCCAAAATAGTGGTTTTCGAAGTGATGTCTGTGTCTCTCTCTGTGTGTGTGTGTGTGTGTGTCTGGATGTGTACAGCGCTAGGACTAGACCTGTGGTCCGATTTCGATAAAATTTGGTACGTAGGTTCTAATACATGGTATATCCAGGCGTTTTTTTTTCATTTTTCTGAAATTTTGGTTTTTAATGGGGATTTCCCCATAAAACCCCATAAAATAACGGAAAAATAGGATTTTCCCAAAAATGGCCAGAACGATTTTAATAAAAATTTAGTATGTTATAGTCCTTTATATTCTGAACAAAATTGTACAAATCCCATTTCCGTATACAGTATTAACTCTCACTGCTTACACATGATAAAGGTTGTTGACAAACTTATGGGAGAAAATATGTGTCAGAATGCTGATACCGTTTTTTTTATTGTGCATAAATCATAAAATAACCTACTCTATTGTATTTTACCAGAGTGTTACTAATTAACGTTAAGGTCTGATTTTTATCAATGATATACACAACCTGACTTGGTTTTACTGCTAATTAATTATTATTGAATCAACTGATATATTTTATAACAGTTGAGAAAAGCATATAAATAAACCGCCATAGGACAGATATAACATTCGACTTTGAGCTTCAAGTATCTCATTCTACAACCGTAAAGGTAATATAAGTAGCTACAGCATAGTATGATTTGACTAGCGTTATTTTATCATTTATATTTATATTATATTTAAATAAATTTTGTGTATGATCATTTTTAATCAATAGTAAATTTACAATCAGTAAAAATTGAATGAGAGCTTAGCACTGATTTCTTAGTTTACATTTGCAATGTATTTAGATGCTCCCTACTATTTATGATACAGTATTTAATATAACGTTCATATTACAGATGAGTTTTGCATCAGCCTTCATCGTGGCACTCGCTTCCTTTATGGCATTCGTTGATGTAAGTATAAAACTTATGCTAATTATAACATTTGAAATTTCAAGAAAGATTGCTGTTACGTACAATAAAGTGCATTAACTACAGTTTCTCTGAACTTTTACAATCAAATACCTTTTTTTTTTTAATCAGTTTGCTTTTTAAGTATGACATTTTTCATAATTGATACAATGATATTTCGTCAGACATAGAACCCAAATCAAGGCCATCCTTTGATAAACAAATATATTTTTGACATTATTATATGTATTTAATACAGTCAAATAGATATCCTAGACACGTTTAAAGTAATATTACTCTTATTTTGCTTCAGTTCACGGTTGCTGAACCCACAGCTCAACCACCTAAGTCACAATGGCGCCATTAGCTAACTCTCTGACATTTCTCGATGTAAGTATGACACGTAACAAAACTATTTCAACACGTTTAATATTTATTGTATTTTTGCTGCAGTTGATGTAAGTACTGGATGAGGTCAACAATAAAATATGAAATTAAGTATAACGAAGCTGTTAAGTGTGCCTACATTTGAGTTTTAACTACTGTTTTTTTCAAAGTAAATTAGTTTTTCAAATTTTTTTTGTAAAAAATAAAATTGATCAATGAATATGTTTTTCCAAAGCTTATAAGGCAATAAACATAAATCTTTATTCATCTTTACTAAATATGGATTCTTCTATGGCCCTTAGAGTTATCATGTAAATATGTTATAATTATCTCATGTAAGTAACAAAAATAATAAACTTAACCTAACCTATGCTAACCTAACCCAACCTAACCTAACCTAACCTAACCTAACCTAACCTAACCTATACTAACCTAACCTACAAGTTAATTGTAAACTAATACGTGTTGTTATTGTGTCTGTTTAGTTCACGATGCCAATCCTGTCTACTTTTGAAACTGATGTCATGCAAGATGTACTTGTTTCGCAATAAAGAGAAATAAAACTTCATGAAAATATAAAATATGATTTTTATTAAACCATAAACAAAATCACAAAAGATATTGAAAACTCACTTAAAAAAGAATTTAATGGGTAACTGATGTAATCCAAAAGTAAAATGATTACCAAGCGTGCATGATGATTAAAAAAAATAAAAGTAATTTTAGGCATAAATTCGTATGATATTTGCATCTTTCTCTTAAACTAAATTTTTGACCGAATTTTTTGACTTAAATATTTCGAAATTTCCTTAATGCAATTACATCACAATGTTTGCTTAAGATAAGATAAAAATTATAAGTGTGTTATAATGACACTTATATAATATAATGATATAATGATGTGATATAAGTGTGAAGTGAGCTGTGCTGACTGAACAAGCTAATTCCAATTTTGAGTTTTCCAATTTTTAATATACTATATGTAATCTAAAAAGTTTACCCAGGAATAAGCCAGGAAATTCATAGCTATTACTTAAGCAAAATGGTGATTAGCTACAACCAAACCAATATGGTGGACACCCTTAATTAATATTTAAAATAACATTTACAAGTTGTGACTAAATGTGAAGTACAAACTCTTTGTTCTTAATTTCATTAAGTTCATAAGAACAAATCAAATTTTAAAGCGTGTACTAATATAGGTATGACGTATGGTTTATTTACAACTTAAATAATAACATTTAAATCGTTAGACGTTTTACCCTCAATGTGTTCATACTTAAATTAACTATCTGTAGAAATAGAGCATTTGTGGAAAACTACCATAAAGTAGTGTCTCAGTTATACCAAGCTTCACTTCCTTTAAAAAAAATCTTCCCCAAAACTGTGATATAGATTATGGTTGGCGTTATTGAGTCAACGTTTGATTATAAATCAACATCTACATCATACAGTATCATTAAACATGATAAGTATCATAAGTACAGTATCATAAGTATAGTATAGTGTGTGAGCTTTCGATGGGCGGATGAAATGCACTTGTGCAACAAACATTTGTTATAACAAAAAGAGTAAATAATTTTACCTCACAATATATTATGCCTATCCTCGCCATTCGTAAAGTATTTAATTATTTAACTTAACTGTGCACAGATCATAAATTGTGTACTCTATTGTCTTTTTGAGCATCCCTAATTAACATTACGGGCTGGTTTTAATATACACTATACGGCAATTAATTATTCCCATTCGATCACCTTTATATATTTTATGACGATTGAAGAAATCTTCTAAATATTTTGACCACCAGAGAACAGATTTAACATTTATCTTTGAGCTGCAAGTATACTGTTCGACAACGATGAAGGTAATAATGAATAAACACACTATAGGGTGATTTAGTTCTTTGTTAATAGCGTTATTTTAACAGGATAGGGTAGTTTACTTTTTATTCTTTTATTTTATTTTATTGTGCAGTGCTACAAAACAACACACGCCAATTACTTTGTTGCATTAATCGTGTAAAAAGAATGTAACCAAGAGTATTACAATATAGAAATAAATACAACTAGGAAAAAATGTCCGTCTTCTATGGTGGCAGACATATTACAGTTTCACTCAAAATATAAATAAAAGAATATAAATATAAAATATAAATAAAATAATAATATATCATTTAAAATATACAGTAAAAAGAGAATTTGTACTAACTAAAATAATACTGATGGTCATCAATTAAAAAGAATAAATAAATATACTATAAATATAATATAACAAATAAATAGGCAATATTTAGAAAAATTATTAGGTAACGTTCATAAGAAAGTTAAAATTAATTTGAAAAACACACATTAAAAATGTTTAGTGATAAGTAAAATATATCAAACTGATAGGCATTACAAGTACGAGACATTATATTTAGTAGGGTATTGAATCCAAGATAGGTACGAGAGTAACGAGGGGTAAATAAAAGAGTGCTGCGTGAATTGTGTCGTGGAACGTGAAAATTGATTTCTCCTAAGGCGGCCAACTTACTTTTGTCACTGAGACTCAAACATGGCGACCAAATGGTTTGAAATACACAAATCTTAAAAATCTGTTTTTATTATAGCATGATTTCAACATATTTAGTAGTCTAATATAAAAAAACATTTTTGTATCTTAATTTTTAATCAATATTTGAATGTAAGCCAAAATCAATGAAAACTTGAATTAAGACTAAACCCTCCATTTTAATTTTGAAATAGAATGTGGACAATAAGACGAAGCAATGTATTTAGATGCTTCCTAACTATTATGGTACATCCCTAAGTCTAGACATGTATTTACAGTAATGTAAGGTTTATTACAGATGAATTTTGCATCAGCTTTTATCGTGGCACTTGCTACCTTTTATACATTCGTCGATGTAAGTATAAAACTTACACATTTAACATTATATTTACTAATACATACCAGCTTCTTGTTCTGTTCATTCTAGGAATATGTCAATTAACAACATCTTAAATTTGTCTGAATAATAGCAGATTATATATTATAGTCTAATATTTTAATTGACAAGTATTTTAACAGAAATTTATCAATTCGAATTCAATGTTATTGTTTTATTGTGTAAAATAAAATCACCTTGCATTTTAAGTACCGTTTTTAAAGCGTTTCCAATTCTGTTTAGTAATTCAATTCAATGATAATAAGTAAAGAATTCAAGTCAAGATTACCCCAATCGTTATTAAGAATATGCATTCACAATCAATTCACTCTTATTCAATGCAGAAATCTGAAAAAAAACTTGGTTTAAAAGTAATATTGTTTTTATGTCTTTTTAGTTCACGATTGCCAACCCCATACCTGATCACATAGAAGGAGATGGATTTAGTCCTTGGGGGCAGTACATGATTAATAAGAAATAAAACTCTACAAATAAGAAAGCATTTTTATTTAATCCCAAATCCATCAATACGCTACACGAAACATTGTGAACAATCAGGCTTTTTTGTTTTAAGATTTTATCCTACATAACATATACCAAAATGTTTGTCTAGGTGTGAAGATTTGCCAACTGACCTTTCATTCGTGAAAAAACCCCTTGGGGTGTGCCCCAGTGGCTAAAAAGTTCCGCTTTTATCCTAAAGAAGAACACATTTGTTTATTTTATGATCAGCTAGATAATTTAATTATTTTAGTACATAATTATAATCGTAGAAACATAAGGAAACGTGTGCTTCAAACATTTACTGACATAAATGAAATGAAATATTACTATTTGAATTTGGGTTGGCGTTAATATTACAATAGAAAAAAAAAAAAAAAAACAATCAAGCCTGGAAAATTTGACATATTGTACTAAAACTTAAAAGAAAACTGAATTTACACTGTGTTGCATTTCTTGAGCAATCATTGAAAGAGCCAATTTGCAAACTATGGAAACATATAAAAGTCATAGAACACCTTATAGAAGAAATAGAAATGAAGTTTTTTTTTAAATTTATAATCGTTATTATGGACAGCCTAATGCGGCTATGAGTGGAAAACATTTGTAGAAAACTCAAAAGATCAGCTTTTGGAAAATGATAAGATATTTAAAAGAAATTTTGATTGTATCGAACATTTATGTACATCGTGAGTCGACTCTTTTCAGAAATTATGAATGTTTTATAACGCCTATAATACTCGAATAGGAGCAACAGGTATACTAGTAGTATATAAAGTGAGTGATTGTTAACTCAATAATAGTAATTTAGAGTTTCATATTTTGAATCAGCAATTTAAGTGTATGACATTTTTTAACAGATCGAGACTACTTATGTTCGGATTAGGTGAGTATAATTATAAATGAAGAGTCAGTGCAAATTACATTTGACGTTTTGTAGAGTTTTGCTAGTGACCAAGTCAGCTGAATTCAAAGTTGATCCATAAAATAGATATAACATTTCTTCAGGATTGTGCTGGTAACGAGATTGGGTTGAAAGTGACGAAAAGAGGGGTTAAACAGTCGTCTCACTGAAAATCAAAATCAAAGTAAAAAATAAGATAAAGACAACTGGATGTTTGTGTGTCGGAGAGAGTTCCAGCCGTCCACAAACCTCACCAGACGCTTCGTTATGTCCAGAGAACGAATGGAACGTCTTTGATAAGTAAACGCTTGAGAAATAAACGATATCAGCATTCCGACACATGCTTTTTACTATAAGTTTGCCAACAACATTTATCATGTGTAAGCGGTGAGAGTAAATATTCGGAAATGGGATTGGTACAATTTTGATCAGAATTTAAAGGACTATAACATACTAAATTTTTATCAAAATCGCTCGGGCCATTTTTGTGAAAATCCGATTTTTCCGTTGTTTTATGGGGTTTTATGGGAAAATAACGTAATTTACAATAACTTTTGAACCGTAATTTTTAAAGAAATGGGAATTGTACCATTTTGTTCAGAGTTAAAAGCGCTGCAACATACTAAATTTGTATCAAAATCGTTCGGGCCATTTTTGAGAAATTTCGATTTTTCCGGTTTTTTATGGGTTTTTATAGGAAAATACACATTAAAAATCAAAATTTCAAAAAATGAAAAAAGCACCTGGAGATAACATGGATTAGAACCTACATACCAAATTTCATCGAAATCGGACTACAGGTGTAGTCCCTAGCTCTGTACACATCCAGACACACAGACACACACACACACACACATACACACAAAATTCGAAAACCACTTTTTTGGGTTCAGGGGGACCCTAAACGAATATATCCACTCAAAACTCAAAGTCAAACATTTTGACGAAAATAATACTTTCTCCATATACTATGGTATTGGAGGAGAAAGTAAAAACACAATTTATATTACATATGCATAAGCATTTTTTGTTGAAGGATGAAACTTGTGTTTGGATCTCAATAGTATATTCATATTATTGTAATTTGTGGGATATTATTTTCTATTAAACCAAATAGTTATTAAATGGCAACTTGTACTTAAAACTATATTTAAACTTTAAAACATTGACATAATAAAATTTGTGACTGACGTTATCTTTAATTGATTACCGTCGCTATTCGTTAAAATCTTTAATTTTTACTTTCTCCCCCTATACCATAGTATAGGGAAAAGGTATTGTTTTCATAAAAATTTTCGAGTTTGAGTTTTGAGTGGATATATCCGTTTTGGGTCCCCCTGGACACAAAATAGTGGTTTTCGAAGTGATGTCTGTGTCTGTGTGTGTGTCTGGATGTGTACAGCGCTAGGGACTAGACCTGTGGTCCGATTTCGATAAAAAATTTGGTATGTAGGTTCTAATCCATGGTATATCGAGGCGTTTTTTTTTTTTTGTTAATTTTGCTTTTTAATGGGGATTTCCCCATAAACCCCCATAAAAAACCGAAAAAATCGGATTTTCTCAAAAATGGCCCGAACGATTTTTATAAAAATGTAAAATGTTGTAGCCCTTTAAATTCTGAACAAAATGGTACAAATCCCATTTCTGTAAAATTACGGTTCAAAAGTTATTGTAAACTATGTTATTTTCCCATAAAACCCCATAAAATAACGAAAAATAGGATTTTGGAAAAAAGTCTGGTTTTGATTTAACATAGTATGATATAGTTCTTACAGTTTTGATAGTTTTTTCATTTTTTAGAAATTTTGATTTTTAATGGGGATTTTTCCACAAATCCCCATAAAATAACGGAAAAATAGGATTTCCCTAAAAATGGCCCGAACGATTTTAATAAAAATTGAGTATGTTATAGTCCTTATATTCTGAACAAAATTGTACAGATCCCATTTCCGTATACAGTATTAACCCTCACTGCTTACACATGATAAAGGTTGTTGACAAACTTATGGGAGAAAGTATGTGTCAGAATGCTGATACCGTTTATTTTTTTTTAATTGTGCATAAATCATAAATTACTAACTCTATTGTATTTTACCAGAGTGTTACTAATTAACGTTAAGGTCTGATTTTTATCAATGCTATACACAACCTAACTTGGTTTTACTGCTAATTAATTATTATTGAATCAACTGATATATTTTATGACATTTGAGAAAAGCATATAAATATTGAAACCGCCATAGGACAGATATAACATTCGACTTTGAGCTTCAAGTATCTCATTCTACAACCGTAAAGGTAGTATAAGTAGCTACAGCATAGTATGATTTGACTAGCGTTATTTTATCATTTATATTGATATTATATTTAAATAAATTTTGTGTATAATAATTTTGAATCAATAGTAAATTTACAATCAGTAAAAATTGAATGAGCACTTAACACTGATTTCTTATTTTACATTTGCAATGTATTTAGATGCTCCATATTATTTATGATAAAGACATGTATTTAATATAACGTTCATATTACAGATGAAATTTGCATCAGCCTTCATTGTGGCACTTGCTACCTTTATGGCATTCGTTGATGTAAGTATGAAACTTATACACATGCTAATTATAACATTTTAAATTGCAACATAACGGTTGCTGTTACGTACAATAATGTGCATTAACTACAGTTTCTCTGAACTTTTACAATCAAATACCTTTTTTTTTAATAAAATCAGTTTGCTTTTTTAATATGAAATTTTTCATAATTAATACAATGATATTTCGTCAGACATAGAACCCAAATCAAGGCCATCCTTTGCTAAACAAATATATTCTCAATGTTATTATATGTATTAAATACTGTCAAAAATATATCCTACGTTTAAAGTAATATTACTCTTATTTTGCTTCAGTTCACGGTTGCCGAACCCACACCTCCACCTAAGTCACAATGGCGCCATTAGCTAACTCTCTGACATTTCTCGACGTAAGTATGAAATATAACTAAACCATTTTAACACTACGTTTAATATATATTGTCTTCTTACTGAAGTTGATGTAAGTATACTATGAGTTCAACAATAAAATAGGAAATAATTAAATATAACGATAGCTGCTAAGCGTGCCTACCTTTGAGTGCTACTGTTTTTTCTAAGTTAATTAGTTTTTCAAATATGTTTTTGTGATAAATAAAACTGATAATCTTTTAAAGAATGGTTTTACATACGTTTTTTCCAAAGTTTATAAGGCAATAAACATAAATCTAGATTCATATTTACTAAAAACATGGATTCTTATAAGTGTCTGAGAACTACCATGTAAATATGTAACAATTTTTATCTCATGTAAATAAAAAATGACCTATTCTTACCTATACATACCTAACCTTACCTATAGTAAACTAACCTATACTAACCTAACCTAACCTATAGTAACCTAACCTACAAGTTAATTGTAAACTAATACGTGTTGTTATTGTGTCTGTTTAGTTCACGATTGCCAAACCTGTCCACTCTTGAACCTGATGTCATGCAAGATGTACCTGTTTCGCAGTGAAGAGAAATAAAACTTAATGAAAATATAAAATATGATTTTTATTAAGCCCCAAACAAAGTCAACTAAGAGATTTAAAACTCGTTAAGAATAATTTAATGGTCAAATCATGTAATCTAAAAGTAAAATGAATACCGAGCGTGCATGGTGATAACCATTCCAAAGAGAGATGTATTTGTTGCATGTAATTAAATTGTCTTATTCTACATGCCCATACAACTGATTGTTCTCAAAGTCAACAGTTAAAAAGATACAATGTGTACTCTGAATTGAAAGTGTCTAAGTGGTATTAACAAATTATTTATTACTACAAGATTATTTAAATAATTACTCCTCAAAATAGACTAGTACATACATCTTGTAGTTTATATAATTCTTACATCGGTTTAATAAATATCAACAAATGTCTGAAGTACTAATCATACATAACCAGTCCAAAGATACAGAACCAATTGTCAAACCTAGTCATGATTAGGTTAAAATATTACTAACTTTAAAGCTTAAGGATTTCAAATTAAAAGACAGTACAAACATATACACATCAATATTTTACGAAGGTATCTATTTTAAAACAATTTATAATACGATTCACCGTGGTTCAATGACATAATTCAATTCAGAGAATTTTATTTTGGGATATCTTTTCCCCTCATTAAAAACAACCTATAAGCTGTAATGGGTAACGAATTATCCTTTCGTATAAGTATATGTTGTTCTAAACCTAAAATAGATTTAACTAATTATATTGTTATAATGTTGACGTGAATAATTTGATACTCGACTTCTAGCTTTTTAAACAATATTTTCAAGTAGAAAAGGGGTTTTAATTATTGTTTTGTTGAAACTACACTTGGGGTTATTTTTTAGTCTACTATACTTCAAATCAAACATAATCCTATACAAGAAACGTTTTGTTTTGAATAATCTTTAACTTCAAAATTTAAATAATACGGTTTTTTATTTATTAGTAAGTATAATATATAAGTGTTTTCAATATTTTTAAACAATCCTTCAGAGAAACTAAATCAGTTCTGTTTATGGTCTTCCATAATACATATCCATATGGGCGCAAAAATTCAGTTAATTGAGGTGATCAGTCTCAAAACACAAAAAATAAAGTTACAGAGGCAGAAATATGGGACTCCCGATAGGTCCACCAACTATAACCACCCCACACCTTCTAGGACACTTTGAAGAGATTTATGGATTTTCTTGGTCAATCTGATTACCAACAAAATGTAAATTTGTTCACGTCAACCCCCTGTAAGTTGTCTGTCTACACATCATTTGTCAGAAAGTTTCACAGACCTTGAGCAGAACATTCTTTGAATACCAAACTGGACTAATAGTAGCTTATATCGTTTTTACCAGTTTATCAAAGGACATCTTCGTTCTTTAGCTTCACACATTTTGTGAAACATTCTAAAAACGCAGAGACAAATGTATTTTATATAAACTACATCTTCCCTAACAACTTCCGGGAGTTAAGCTTAGTTTGAACTCCCGTACAGTATGTAGGAAAGTCATTATTGTTTCCTATTCTACGTCATTAATTCTCATAAGCTGGAACCTTAAGTAATACAACAAATGAAAAAAATCAAATGTTTCTAGAAACTAACTATATTGGGGAAGGTAGTAAATTAAAGCCACTTTATTATCTGACGCTATATTTCAAACGTTGCATCAAGAGTAAGGGTGGCTTATAATATGATATATGAGATTGTACTTTAGATAGTGATAATAGGACTCATACACCTCAGCCAAGATTAGATTTACAAGGTATATTGATCTGTGTCGTCTGAGGGTTTCTTAACGTAACTAAAAAAAAAAAATCAATCTTATACATTAAAAACTTTTGCAAAACTTATGACAGCTAGCCTGACCATTCTACTGGACCGAATTACACGCGGGTTGTACCAAAAGAAAGATTATTGGTCCTACACGTGCGGGTTTTATTTGTATTTTGATAATAGTTATATTAATTGGGTCAAAAATTAAAATTAAACTTTATATATAGAGATTTAACATGGAGCTAATTCTATATATTAATAGACAAGCGAGTTTCTTGAAAACATTTTTCTCAGCTCATGTACATCGCAGTCGCAGGGAAAATCTTCGCATACTGTTAGAAAGCTATTTGCCTGTAAATGTTCAAAATTCCTTTATAAATTAAAATAGGATAAAAATAAGCACAAAAATGACTTTAAAATTTAAAGATATTAACATGGGTCTTAAGGAGTTCTATGTTGAAATAACAACAAAATATACACATAAAATCAAAACAAATGGAAGAAATACCAATCACATGCTTTATTTACAGCGAGGAGTAAAAATAGAATGGTTTGCACAATACATATTTTTGGTCGAGTTTTCGACCACGGGGCGAGCTCTAGTTTTATATTATTATAATTTTCAAGTACCTAAAGCCTACTCCCTTCAAAGGGGGAGAGAGGTCTGGTGGTAGAGAGTGGGACTCCGGTTCCTGAGGTCCCGGGTTCAAATCCCGCCAAATCAGCAATGGATTTATTCAGATGATAATGCCAAAACCCCTAGGTCTTGTTTCAAGTACTGTGAAAAACAATCTATGGTTCGTGCCTAGTGTCCTAGGGCAAAAAAACTACCTTCAAAACGTATGTAAGAGGGTGCCAGTATATTGGAACTACTAGCGAAAGCTTTTCAGTAACATATTTCCCATTCAATATTTACTAGTATTAACCAGTAACGTGTGCTGGTGGCTTGGTACGTGGCTTATCCTCGTATTCGTAACAAGCAAAAACAGTGTTATTTCTTGTTCCAAATATTTAACATAAACAAATATAGGCTGTTGGATGGTCAGAGTGATTATATATATACTACTATATATATATATCATTCTTATATTTAAGTATATAAAGAATAATTTTTGCCCAAATTTTCGTTTTTCCCTCTTTAATATGCTTTCCTGAGTAAACTTTTAGATTTCATATAGAATATAAAATATTGGAAAATTCAAAATTAGATTAAGTTGGTTCAGTCAATAGCATAGCCCTCATCACACTTATATCAGACAATTATATCATTTATATTATACAGTATAAGTATAATTATATCACAGTTATACTTTCATCTTATCTTAAGCAAAAATTGTGATGTAATTGCATTGAAGGAATTTCGAAATATTTAAGTTAAAAATTCGGTCAAAAATTTAGATTAAGAGTGTGAAAAATGCAAATATCATACGAATTTATGACTAAAATTACTTTTAATTTTTTTATCATCATGCACGCTTGGTAATCATTTTACTTTTGGATTACATCAGTTACCTATTAAATTCTTTTAATTGAGTTTGAAATATCTTTTGTGATTTTGTTTAGGGTTAAATAAAAATGATATTTTATATTTTCATGAAGTTTTATTTCTCTTTATTGCGAAACAGGCACATCTTGCATGACATCAGGTTCAAGAGTGGACAGGTTTGGCAATCGTGAACTAAACAGACACAATAACAATACGTATTAGTTTACAATTAACTTGTAGGTTAGGTTAGTATAGGTTAGGTTAGGATAGTATAGGTTAGGATAGGTTAGTATAGGTTAGTTTACTTTAAGTAAGGTTAGGTAAGTATAGGTAAGAATAGGTTATTTTTGTTATTTTCATGAGATAACAATTATAATTTACAATTAACTTGTAGGTTAGGTTAGGATAGGTTAGGTTAGGATAGTATAGGTTAGGATAGGTTAGTATAGGTTAGTTTACTTTAAGTAAGGTTAGGTAAGTATAGGTAAGAATAGGTTATTTTTGTTATTTACATGAGATAACAATTATAATTTACAATTAACTTGTAGGTTAGGTTAGGATAGGTTAGGTTAGGATAGTATAGGTTAGGATAGGTTAGTATAGGTTAGTTTACTTTAAGTAAGGTTAGGTAAGTATAGGTAAGAATAGGTTATTTTTGTTATTTACATGAGATAACAATCTTACTAATAATATAAATGTGAAAGTTTGTGTGTTTGTTTGTTTGTTTGTTTGAAGTTCAATCACGCATAAGCCACTGGACGGATTGGGCTGAAATTTGGCATGATGATAGCCTACATTCCCGATTAACATATAGGTATATTATTATCTCAAAAATCCTTTCGGGCTCCGCCCCAGTGTCTCTGCAGTTCTCCATGTTAACCTTATGAGTATTCATATTTAAAGGGAATTAAAGCATTTAGTCAGCTGTTTCAACTAAAAAAAGTTGGTTCTATGACATACAAAAGATTAACAAGTTATAAGATTTACCAACAGGGTGCAGCACTATAATTATTTTTGCATTTATGTAAACAGCTAATTTGAACTAAGCAGCAACAACAAACTGTGATACACGATGAGAACTGTCAAAGTAGGATTGTTTACAGTTATTATTTTTATGTCATGAATAATTTGTAATTTTTTGTGAATTTTTAATAATTTATTTTTCTTTATTGTTTAAGTGTGAAGTGGTAGAACATTATGGTTGGTAGATGTGTAATACTATAGTATACCGTCAATTTAAAGAAGCAAATTTTATCAAACTGTGTCCTCCCCCATTGCAAATGCAAAGCTTGAGTATAACTGCACTACGCATTTTAAACTTATATGCCAACCCCATACGAAGGACGGGTACTCTGCTAGTTATTACATATTTACATGGTAGTTCTAAAACACTTATAAGAATTCATATTTTTAGTAAAGATGAATCTAGATTTCTGTTTATTGCCTTCAAAACTTTAGAAAAAACATATATAAAACCTTTCTTAAAAAGATGATAAAATTTTATTTATCACAAAAATTGATTTAAAAACTAATTAACTTAGAAAAAACAGTAGTTAACACTCAAATGTAGGCACACTTAACAGCTATCGTTATATTTAATTTCCTATTTTATTGTTGAACTCATAGTATACTTACATCAACTGCAGCAAGAATACAACAAATGTTAACGTAGTGTTAAAATAGTTTAGATATATTTCATACTTACATCGAGAAATGTCAGAGAGTTAGCTAATGGCGCCAATTTGACCGGTCTGGGTCTGGAGGTTGAGGTTTGGGTTCGGCAACCGTGAACTGAAGCAAAATAAGTGCAATATTACTTTAATCGTGTCTAGGATATCTATTTGACAGTATTAAATACATTTAATAATATTGAGAATATATTTGTTTAGCAAAGGTTGGCGTTGATTTGGATTCTTTGTCCGACGAAATATTATAATAGCAATTATAAAAAAATTGCATTCTTAAAAGCAAACTGATTTGATTGGAAAAACTCAGAGAAACTGTAGTTAAAACACTTGATTGTACGTAACAGCAACCGTTATGTTGTAATTTAAAATGTTATAATTAGCATGTATAAGTTTCATACTTACATCAACGAATGCCATAAAGGTAGCAAGTGCCACGATGAAGGCTGATGCAAATTTCATCTGTAATAAACGCTATATTAAACACATGTCTGTATCATAAGTTGTATGAAGCGTCTAAATACATTGCATCGTCTTAATACATATGCAAATGTAAAATTAAAAATCTGTGTTTGGTGCTCATTCAAATTTCATTGACTTTGAATTTACTGTTGATTCAAAATGTTTATACAACAAACTTATTTTAATATAAGATTAATACTTATGTTAAAGTAACGCTATTCAAATCATGCTATGCTGTGGCTACTCATATTACCTTTACGGTTGTAGAATGAGATACTTGAAGCTCAAAGTTGAATGTTATATCTGTCCTCTGGAGGTTCAAATATTTATATGCTTTTCTCAACTGTCATAAAATATATCAGGTGATTCAATAATAATTAATGGGCAGTAAAACCAAGTAAAGTGGTGATCAAATCCGACCTTAATAATAATTAGTGACACTTTGATACAACACAATACAGTAAGCAATTTATAATTTATGCACGATTTATGAAAATAATTAAAGATTTTAACTATTAGCGATAGTAGGTAATTAGTTAAGATAAACTCATTCCCACTTTTTTTATGACAAAGTTTTATTGCTGCAATATAATTGTAATTACAAGTTTCCATTAAGCAACTATTTGGTTTAATAGAACATTATATCCTACAAATTACAATAATATGAATATCCTATTAAGATCCAAACACAAGTATTTCATCCTTCAACAAAAAATACCCATACGAATATAATATAAACTAGCTGTTACCTACGGGCTTCACCCAGTTTGACTTCATAAGTATTAATAAAACTATTGTTTGGTTAGTTAAGCTGAAATAAACAAAAGGTAATACAAACAAATAATGACACCTGATTTAATAAGGTGATAAATTGAAAGATGAACAAATAAATAAGTACAGCTGAGGTATTTTTACAAAAGTGTATGGAAAGTTCCCTTTAAAAGAAATTACTACCTTAAAGGACAATTAATGACATAATGAAGTTTTACGCAGTTTTGCGCAAGGTTTCTCGTCATGACGAACATTTTAAGTATATGGTTAATACTATACATAAAGGTGTAACTTGTAGTTTTTTCAAAATTTCATTAGTACTTTTGGGTTTATATATAGGCCAAATATGGATTGTGTTTTTCTCGATCGTTTACTTATCAAAAACATTCCATTAGTTCTCTGGGCGTGACGAACTGTCTGGTGAGGTTTGTGGACGACTGGAACTCTGTCTGACAAGTCAAGTTAAAATGATGAGCATTAATCCTTAATTTGGTCCGAAAGTTCTGCTGAACACTATCAATAAGATAGTACGAACGAACTCTAAAACACTAAATGTTTTTTTTCTTTTTTTTTGAAATGGCCACAATTTATTGTGTCTTCGAAGTAAGCCTACTCAGCTAAGCAACTGAGACAAAACATAACCTTGTCAAACAAAGTCATAAACTCACCTTTTCCATTGTAACATTCAGCTGTATGAAATCACAGAAAAGGACGTATCAACAATTGGGCAATACACCACTAATGGTTTAAATAATTATACCCCTAGCGTATTGTCCTACATTTTAAGAACAATATCAACTACCGTACTTGCATTTAGAGGCGTAGATGGTGTTAAATGTTGTGAGTAAATTAAAGCACATTAAAAATAGCTTACAGTTTACTGTTTAAGAGGACTATTTAATTTTTACGCCACTATGTTGAAATATAATATTAATAATAGTCAATAATACTTCAAAACCAAAAAGCTTGAATTCCATTCGGTAAAAATAAAAATAGTATGGACCGTTATTGTCTTGGAGTGGACTGAAATGATATTATATTGTTTGTGTTAAAAATATATAAGAAAGCTGATATTTAATGGCAACCATGTGACAAGATCGGCCTGTGTGGAAAGGGTTTCTCGGAATATCCTAAACTAACATCCTCATCCAGTTCAAACATGTTTAGGATCCTGATTTCTCAGAAACAGTATTATAATATAAGTTGGTATTGGATAATAACCATCAAATAATGCCAAGAACATAATAAAGTGTTTTGTATAGACTCTTTTGGAACATAGTAGGTCTAATGTTGTCACTTTTGGCTTCAAGCACGAAATTGGTGCTATTTCAAATAGGGAATTGGATACTTATTAAATGGGCTAAACAAATAATCACACCAAGTAAAATTTAATACTTTTGATTACTTTTCGATGATTTTAAATTGGTAACAGGTTTATTACGCATTTGAGAACAACTAATGACAAACTAAGATCGCATATCAATACCCCCGTGAAGTGAGCTGTGCTATTGACTGAAAAGCTAATTCAAGGAAATTCATAGCTATTACTTAAGCAAAATGGTGATTAGCTACAACCAAACCAATAATGTGGACACTCTTAATAGATATTTAAAATTAACATTTACAAGTTGCGACTACAAGTACAAACTATTCGTTTTGACATTTATGAAGTTCACAATAGCAAACCATATTTTAAATCGTGTACCTATGTAGTTTTGGCATACAGGTGATTTACAACTTACATGATAACATTTAAATTGTTAGACCTGTTACCCTAAATTTGTTCATACTTGAATGTCTATAAAAATATAAAATATCTAGAGAACTATCATTAAGCAGTGTCTCAACTATATCTTGCTTGAAAAAAAAAACTTCCCTAAAACAGAGATGTAGATTATGATTATGGATGGAGTTAAAGTTGCAACGTTCGACCATAAAATACCATTTTCATTATATTCCTAAGTGAGTCCTTTTGTTGGAGGGTAAAATACTTATATATCGAACCTTAATCAGTAATAACAAAAGGAGTAAATGAGTTTATCTCATGATATATTAACCTCGTCATTTGTAAAATACAAGTTGTGCATGTATCATAAATATGTACTCTATTGTCTTTTGCCAGTTGTATGGAGCATTACTTATAATTTTCATTACGGTCTGGTTTTAATGAAGTACACGGCACTTTTTTATTACTTTTGCATCAACCTTGTATATTTTATAAAGATTGAAGAAGGCCTATAAATATTTTAACCACCAGAGAACGGATACAACATTTAACTTTGAGCTTCAAGTATCCTGTTCGACAACAGTGAAGGTAATAATGAATAAACACACTATAGGACAATTTACATTTTAATGACAGTGTTAATCCAGCATATCCAGTAATATAATATATAAAACGGTTTTTTGATATATTATAACTAACCTAGGTACTAAATAATATTTAAATGTGAGCAACAAAATTTAGCTTTTAAAATATGCATACGTGTTAATATAATGTAATGTGTTTAGTTTATTATTATGATACATTACTTATAACATACATGTATTTAATATAAGGTTTATTACAGATGATTTTTGCATCAGCTTTTATCGTAGTACTTGCTACCTTTTTGGCATTCGTCAATGTAAGTATGAAACTTAAACATTTTAACACTATGTTTAATAATATATACCAGCTTCTTGTTCTATTCATTTTAGGATTATGTCAATGAACAACGTATTGTCTTGTTATCTTATTTGTTTTAACAATTGCAGATTGTATATATATTGTATTTTTACAACTAGTATTTTGACATAAATTCATCAATTCGAATTCAATGCTAACATGTTTTATTGTGTAAAATAAAATAACTTTGCATTTTAAGTAAAGTTTTTAAAAGTGATTTCAATTCTGTTTGATAAGGCAATTCAATGATGATAAGTAAAGAATTCAAGTCAAGCTTACCCTAACCGTTATTGAGAAAATGCATTCTCAATCAATGCACTTTTATTTAATGCAGAAATCTGAAAAATCTTTATTTAAAAGTAAAATTGATTTTATGTATGTTTAGTTCCCGACTGTCATACCCATACCTGATCTTTTAAAATCAGATGGACTCAATCCTGGAGGCAGGACATGATTAATAAGAAATAAAACTTTACAAGAGTGTAATGTTTCATTCAACCCCGAATAGAATATAAGCTGAGTGAAACTCACTTATAGTTGTTTAGTGTTTCGTATTTTGATTCAGCAATTTAAATAATTGGCACTTTTATCTGTGCAAAATATAAGTGATGTTTTGTGGAGTTTTGCTTCCGACCAAGTCAGCTGAATTCAATGTTGATCCATGAAAAGGAAATAACATTCCCTCAGGATTGAGCTAGTTAAGAGATTGGTTTGAAAGTGACGAAACGAGATTTCAAACAATCATCTTACTGAAAACCCTCAATAATACATACGAATAAAAATCAAAATACAGTAAAAATAAACTTAATTTCCATTGTTAGATTCACTTCCCCAATAAATGAATGAATAGATAAATGATTGGATGAATGCACGGTTAAATGAATGTATGAGTAAATGATTGAATGAACGAATGGTAATGTCTTTATTGAGCCAGCGTTATCCAAAACACAAATATTCTTCGTTGTCAAAACGCAAAATTTGGACTTATATTAGATATATTGAAAGTTCCTTTTTTATTAACTAGCTAACTATTACTGGAATAAAATAAATCCTTTAAACCACTTTTAAATATTGAAAGCCGATTTGATGTCAGTTGGAAGGGCATCGAAGACTTGAAAAAAAGGTTTTCGACCTTTAGGGACACTAACTGCCAAAGCTCAGACAGATAGGAATGCAACAGTTCCAGACTTTTTCCACTTAATCAATAAAAGTTCAGTTTTTTTAGCAGAATGCCATGATCAATCTTGCATAAACATTGCCGAGGTCACACAGAGTGGTCGCATTAATATTACCGTTTTCAAACAACTCAAAAACAGGCTTTGACAAAGAATACACTGAATTAGTTGTACATCAAACACGCCATCAGGTTGTTAGATTCTTGGTAATAAGATAATAACTGGTAATATAATGTCCCTTAATAATTCCTTCAAACCTCTTGAAAAATACAGGTAAAATAGAAAAAGGTCTGAAGATCCCATATACTTTGTGCTTTCCATTTTTATATATAAACATTACTCTATCAGTTTTCAAATTCTTAGGAAAGACGACGTTTAGAATACAACAGTTTGTTTAGTATGCAAAAGGGAAATTAATACATTTGATAGTATTCAAAAAAGCTAGAGGGGATATAAAAATGTCCTGACATTTGGAGGCCTTAATTCGTTTACAACAGACACGACCTTTTCATGTGATACAGACATAAAATACAGAGTGCTAAAGGGTTGTCTCTCAAGGAACTCTATGGCCAATGTAGTTGGAATCTCAATACCGTTTCTGGTCCGCTGTACAGAATCGAATCTAGGGTTACATTATGTCATCCAGCTCGCTTCTACTTGCTAGCTTCCCATTAGTGAGTAAAAAGAAAAAAACAGTGATACTCAATGAGAACTGTTAAAGTAATATTGTTTACAGTTATGTTTATGATTTTAATTTAATGAATAATTTGTGATATTTTGCGAATGTTTGCACGCAAAACTTGACTATAACTGTAAAAGAAATATATGCCAACCACGTACAAACGGATACTCTGCTAGTATAAATTTTTTTAGAAACACATTTTTATAATACTAGACGCTATAACCGTGCATTTACATTTTACCTTTTTTTTAATTCTCTCAATATTTCGTACTCTTTGGAATCAAGTAGAAAAACGTTCTACATCATCATGCAATAAAGGCTAAACAGCCTAACTAACCACGGTTAATTTGAAAATTAGTCAGTTTGTAAAAAATCAAATTTCAATCAGATAATACCTATAACATTTAAACTGACATAGAAATTTCAATAACATTAGGCTTAAAACATTATGTATTTCCCCTTGGGAAATACCATTTTTATTATTCTTTAGCTTAATATACGTAGAACGTTTACTACTCGCTAATTTAAGACATCTTGGATTCACGGATAATGCAATTGCTTGGGTGCAGTCGTACTTCGAAAAAAGAAAACGGGTGACTAAAATGGGAGCGGATGTTTCACCTCCCCTTGGCAAAGTCAGGGGGTTCCACAGGGGAGCTGTCTGGGTCCCATTTTATTCACCCCATACAGCAGATCTTTCCAGTAGCGTACACTACTGCAATGTCCACGCCTATGCCGATGGCTGTCATTTGCATTAACCTTATGATGTCAATTCAATTGACCAGGCTAGATGAACTTGGATTTGGCAAACTTCAGTGTGTGGTCAATGAGACATGGCTTATGTTAAATGGAGAAAAATGCACTGATCTCCACATTGTTCCGCCAAACGTTGTCAAAAGGATAATTGATGGAGACGTGCAAGTGAAACTTGATCAGAAGGATTTGAAGACAGCCTCACTGCTAAGACTTTGGGTTATACTGGACAGTGGTCATACTTTTTCTGATCACATCACTCATGTTTCCCAGCTGGCGTTGGGTGGACTGCAGGGCCTGTACAAATGAGCCATCCTACCATCCTACCTGAGTCAGCTAAGATTCAGTTGATTCAATCGATTGTATTGTCATGTACTATTGCTTTCCTGCATATGGCAATAGTATCAAAAAGGAGGGCACGGAAGACTGCAGAACACCGAAGTGTGATTTGTATATGGTCTTCGGAAAATATAAAAAAAATCTTCTGGCCTCTTGCCCTCAGCTGCTGTGTGCAGGAGGCAAATCTGCACTCTAGTAGTTGTAGTAAAAGACTGGACACCAGCGATCAGGTCTCAAATTTCACTTCCCGAAGGTGAGGTTGGGTGAAGTTAAAAGAGGGTTTGCGTACTGTGGGCCTAAACTGTACAATGACTTCCCTGTAACCTTAAGATGCTGGGTGTCCCAACTTTAACATCTAGGCTGAATTAAATGTATATACAATCGTAGATAGTTTAAATGTTGTAAATAAGTGGTTGATCTGTATTTTGTTTCGGTCATTAGTATTAAGTTAGCTGTAGTTAATTGACAAGAGTAATCCTGTAAAACAGTTTTGAGGAGAGCTTGCTAATAAAAGACGATTTCATTTATTTATTATAAAATAAATAAAAGCTAGATCCAAAGAAGCTTTTTGATGGTTCAAAATTGTTATCTTAGTCAGGCACAATTTTACACAAGGTATCCCATATATCTTTCACTAATCTTTTATTTGTACTCGGAATAACATCATATAATATACACACAAACTACTACGTTTTATTAAAAAAATATTGATGTATATACGTTTTAAACTCATATAAAGGCCTTATCTTTTATCTTCAAAAATCAATTTCTTATCAAGGTTGAAAGAATAGACTAATCATACAATCCTTGGTTCCAATACCGACAACCGACGTTAGTATTACCAGAAAATCATACAAATTATTTTATTTATAAAACGTGGAGTTTTAAATTATTATAAGTAAGTTTTCTACAGTGCCTTTTTTTTAATTTCAACCCAAATAATTACAATTACCACTAAACGCATTTCAAAGCCATATCCAACGTATGTGTTGATATTTATGATTTCTTTACTTCATTGCCAATGAGCTAATAAGTAAATGTTTCATAGATTTCGTTGGGGATTATTGATATTGAGAATTTATTGTAAATAAGACTTAACCTGATATTTTGCAAGCTCGATTAAGGAAGACAGAAGAGTCTTGTTTTTGTTTGCTTTAGTTTCATACAAAAAAAACCTTTTCTTACTAGTGGCAAGTAAGGACATAAATCCCGAATAAGCTTGAATGTAAAACAAATTATTTTTATATTTAAACAAAATAAGAATCAGATGATCTTGCCCGCAACAGCTCTGACAATGTTTAGTAAATCATTTTTAGATCACTTTTGTGAAAGCAGAATTTATCTTAATTTGTAGATTAGAATAAAAATTGTAATACTTTGTGATCCCATGTTTAATGTAAACAAAGAAGACTTTTTCAATCCCAATGAATTTTGAATGGAAGATATTTTTTGTTATTTGTCTATTTCTGTCAGATTTGGAAATAATCTATTTTCCCCGCCCCCCTTGGGGCCAAGACCTTTAATTTTAGCCATCTCCCGTCATCCTGCAAATTGTCATACTCTCACAATTTCAATCAAAATTGCTTACAGAATTAATAATATAGATTTTTTACGATTCTATAAATTGTAGATTTTTAGGTACTATACTGGAATCACATATGAAATTTAATTTCAAACCTAAATTGGCATGCAAACAAATCTTAAACTTCATCTTTCAATACACAGTCTTTGACTGTGACATTAGTCTTTGCTAAGCCCCACCTTGTAATATATTCACAATAAATTCCCGATATCACTAGAAATCATATATGAATATGAACTAATGGAATCAGCAGCTTGGGAATTAAACAAATTAAACTAGTGCAACAAAAATATAACTTTTATACTTCGTTAAAAGTGTCTTACAGTACTAGCACATTGGGGCTTGCTTTACAACCTCTATGTGTGAATTTTTACTATTAAGGATATAATAAAATTATGCTTTGTTATTTTTCATAGATTTTTATTTCTGTTTATGATTAAGAACGTTATCACAAGCTTATCCTCCCTTATGACCACATCCTTTATGGTGCTTATGTTGAGGGTCAGCAATCGTCAACTAAACAGATATAACAAAAATATTAACTTTATATCAATATGTATATCTATATTACTGGATTGAATACTGATACACAATAAAAAAAGATAAATTCTAAACTCAGATGGTAGGAATGCATAAAACAGAAGTTTAAGAACTTGACTGAAAAGAAATGGATTCCTAGAATCAATTTAAGATTTTATTTATTGACGTCGTCCTTAAAAAGGTTTTAGCAGAAAATCTACAAATATTATCAAATATAGTTTTAACAAGTTTAAGCTTCATACTTACATCGACGAATGCCATAAAGGAAGCAAGTGCCACGATGAAGGCTGATGCGAAGTTCATCTGAAATTGACCTAACATTAACTACTTGTACTAGGGGATGTATCATCAAAGTTAATGTGCATCTAAATAAATTGCATAGTCTTTATACAAATACAAATTGCAAATAGTAGGGTAGAGCTAAGCGCTGATTCAATTAGTCATTGATTTGTAATATAAGTAAAAAAATCATTAATAGTATATTTCAAGAGGCATTTTCCGGCGCGTGCTCAAGTTTGTTGTTCGGATTTGCCTCACACAGAAAATCTCAATTTCAAGTACGAGGCAAAATCGAGGACGGGAATAATGGAGCAAGTGCCGGATAATAACTTTCGGTAACTTACGAGTATGAACCATACTTTTCGTCACTACGCAAAAATACACAGACACAGAATGGCACACCTCAGAAATAGTACAACTATTTTATTTCTCAATCAATTTGATTTAACATCAAAATAATATAAAACAAAATATTCTTAAGGAAACCTACGTACATTTCTCAATAGATTTGCTTTAAAAATCAAAATAAAAGAATGAAAAAACTTTTTAACAATACTGTACATACAGCTGATTGAAATCATTAAACGAAACCATAACAAAATACTAGCGCTCGTAGTGAATAAATGGAGAACTAATTGAGAGCGAGGGAATATCAGCTGATCGATTATCCCTCGCCCCAAATTATTTATTTGTTTTCCAACGGCTGACGCCAATACATAAGAAGATATATACAATTTAAAAGAAAATAACAGATGCAAAATGTGAAACAATTCAGATCAGTACAAGCAATAACATTTGAGAACAATTAAAAATTAGAGCTTGGGAAACGATTACTTTCATTGTTGTCAGCTGTTATCGAAAATAGTTACTTTCACTACGGAATGATGAACAAATTATAATATAACAGTAAACCTACTTAAATATCAGTTAAATTTGTAAAACAAGGCTACAATAGAGCATTAAACTAACCAATATGGTCACTATTAACCTTTACACACTATTAATTACCTTTACTGTGGTTGAACAAGACTCTTGAAGCTCACAGTTGAAAGTTATACCTTTCTTCTTGTGATCCAGCTATTTATACGTGTTATTTGATTGTTTTAACATGTGATTAAATATTGAACAATAGGCAGTAAATCAAGAAGAGAACCTTGTAATGTAATACTGTTAATCAGACCGAAATATTAATTAGTTATGGTTTTTACTTTTGACAAAAGCCAATTGAATTGAATGCCACTCACAAACAATAGTCATCACGGAAATAGATATGATATGAACGTATTGTTAATTATTCTTGTCATTCGTTGAAGCCTCAAATTATATAATTAAATTGTGCCTAAAACATCAATCATTTACTTTATGTGTTGAAATAAATTTTAAATTAGATAATAGTAAATTGTCTTTTGTAAAAAGTAAGGGCCATAACCACACATACAGGTCATACAGGTCTGATTTTCATTAAATTATAAAGCACTCTGATTAATATTTACCACCTATTTACCATTCGATCACATGATATATTCAACGACAATCGTGGAAAAAATACCGATATTTTAACTACCAGAGAAGTAAAACTAATTTGAATTGTGGGCTTTAAGATACTTGTTCAATGACAGTAAATGTATTAGTGAATAACGAAAACATCGGTTAATTTAATGTTTCACAGTAGCCTTGTTAAAAACCTTACACTGGTATTTCAGTAATTTATCGTATATTATAATTTACAATTCATATTTTACTTCAATTTGAGATCAATTACGAATTGAATTAACACTGACCTACTACTTTTAGCTTGAAGTAGTATTAAGAAGATATACTGTCATTGTATGCTCCCTAACTATTATGCTACAACGAATCATACATGTAGTTAATGTTAACTTATTGCAGATGAGTTTTGTATAATCTTTCACAGTAGCATTTGCTACTTTCCTTGCGCCCGTTGATGTATGAAACCTAAACATTATAACACCATGTTTGATAATGTTTACTGACTTGACTTCCAATCCATTTTTACGTTATGTTGATTTTTAAATAATTAAATTAATTCTTAGAGTTCCTGTCTTATACATTCGAGTTCTACTGTTTTATACCTTCCCGCTATTTGAATTTTACATTTTCCCCTTACATAATAACAGTACTATAGTTTTAAATGTTTCATCGCATCTAAGTTAAAACAAACATTTCAACTAAAAAAAGGTAAATCATATTTTGTACATCACTGCTCAGGGGCTAAGAATAAATTTTAATAAAACATTTTAAGTTAAGGTAATCATAAATTATTTGGCCAATTGGTATCTGTATTCAATACTGCCATATAGATATCTTAAACAGTCTAGGTTAAATTGAATATTTTTCTTATGTCTGTTTAGTTCACAACATCACCACCAAAGGTGCATAAGATTATATTTGGTATATTTATTTTTCCTACCAGAGAGTTTTGTTATCGGCTTAAGTTACGAGGCAATTATAGTATCCGCATTCTTTGGTTATATTTACTCATCAGGGAACATCAAGTTTTGGATTAAACTTCGTTATTAAATTTATATGTAAACTGCATGCCGAGTACTATATAAAAAACGATTTAAACTAACGGAATTTTATAGATATTTATATTTTTTGTATTTATTAATGTAATACATTTGAATTTAATACTTCTTTAAAGCGTTTAGAATTCAAATACCTATTATGGTCAATCCTGCGTTATAAATATCAATTAAGGTATATACAGCCACTCCAAACCAGTAGTATAACTAACCTTAATAATAAATAAGCAAGGATAAGCTGAACTAAGCATCCTGAAACTAGAAGTTATGACTTTATAGCTTGGAAACATGCCAGTAGTTTATTTGAAGGTTTAACTAATGTTCAAGTTGAGGTTTAAGTGCGACTTCATCAGAATTTTGCAGCGCTATCAGGTTTAAAGCTAGTTTAGTTACATCATGAAACTGAGCATGTATAAATGAAAGTTTTCTATGTATTTTGTGTTTGGGGTTATTTTAACTTGCCAGAGAAAAGGTGCTGGCCAGTAATATGACCGAAACCATAGACAAAAATAATGAAATAATTCTTTCAATTAAGAATTATTTAATTATTTTTGTCTACGCCGAAACATGGCGAAACATATACAATGATCGTGATTTAAATTGATTAAATAATTTATGAAAAGGTATCAAATAAGCGTAGTACCAATGCTTGGTTCTGATATGTAAACATAAGTCCTTGAATGTTTATATATAAATAATAAACTCATATTGACCCATTTTAAGATGGTGGTCATAACATAAGATGATGATAGACATGGTGCACTGCTTCTAGGTCGTAAATATATTGTTATCAGTTGGATAGCTCATAGGAAATAATCATTATAATAATATGAATGATTTAAATGTTTTTACTATTCAAACGGTGAACTAATCATTAAAATCCTGTTGGTGTAGCTTTCAATTTTACGTATTAAGCTCCTTTCACACATAAACAACAGGGATCTCTTATATTTTTGGGTCTACTTCTTCGCCACATTTGGGTTGTTTGTGAATCTATAATACCCAGTATAATTATGGTTGCTTACGTTTAAAGTTTTATCAACATGTCACGAAAAAAGAAATGTTTTTGAATGTGAATGCCTTCAAATGACAACTGAATCGTAAATAAATGGTGATTCAAGTTACGTAAAACGCCGTAGCGTTTAAATGAAAACCAGACCGTTTGTTAGTTAGTTATGGTCTTTACATTTGACAAAAGCTAATTACATTTCATAATTCAATTTCACCTACCGCGTAGAATATCCATTTTATTTTGTAGTCCATTATTACGGACGCAACATTTATATGACTCATATATGCCAGATTTTATTATCCAATTAAATAGTACAATGCATAATAAACTATGTTTATTGTGCAAAAAACTCATTTAGTGCTACACCTACTTTAATCACTTCTGTATTTTTTTTACTATACATGTTGTAATGTATTTCCATAAATTGCAGAGAATTTCAAATATAGAAAATATCATTTTAATGTCACTAACAATTTAAGTGTTACTTTTTGGAAAAATTCTATTTACTTTGATTATTTTTATTATGTTATGAGAGTTTCAAGCATTATGATCCATTGAATTAAGATCAAAAAAATAACATTCATATATTTTACTTTATAACGTTTAGTTATTTCATTCAACTGTTTATCTCATCCAAATAATTATCCAATTGTAATTGCCTATGGTCACAAATAATGTACGTAACCAATAATATGCTCTCTTTGCCTTTACAACTCGCAGATTTACAATCAGTTTTATTGCAAATCGATAGTATGGAAACAATAGAACGTTAAAAAAACAAGTGTTGGGAATACGTATAAATATCAGAACTAACATAGGATAGATATCAATTGATTTCGAGGCACTCATCTCGTAAATGTAAATGTAAGTATATTATACGTTAAAAAACAATATTTATTTTAAATTTTTTCGTTAGGTATATGAGGATAAATTCAAGTATTAACTTTTAAACTTATTACATATCAAATGTTTGTAAGTTACCCTAACATGACTGTATTTTTTTACTGTCATTGACTTTAATAATAGTCCATATGCTTTAAATCTGATTAATAACTATTGTAACAATTCGTGTTACGAGTATTTTTGTTAATTTTATGTCTAAAAACACCCATAATGACCATGTTTTATGTTCGCAGATGTTTTAAAAGGTAACCTTGTACTGTATTGTTAAGGCTTTAGCCGTACCTTTCTGTGCAACTTTGCCCGTTATTATTTTCTAATTCTAATTAATTCTTTCAATTAAGAATTATTTAATTATTTTTTTCTACGCCGAAACATGGCAAAAAATATACAATTGATCGTGATTATTAATTGATTAAATAATGTATGAAAGGGTATCAAATAAGCGTAGTACCAATGATTGGTTCTGATATGTAAACATAAGTCCTTGAATGTTTATATATAAATAATAAGCTCATAATGACCCATTATAAGATGATGGTCATAACATAAGGTGATAATAGACATGGTGCACTGCTTCTAGGTCGTAAATATATTGTTGTCAGTTGGATAGCTCATAAGAAATAATCATTATAAATGAATGATTTAAATGTTTTTACAATTCAAAAGGTGAACTAATCATTAAACTCCTGTTGGCGTGGCTTTCAATTTTACGTATTAAGCTCCTTTCACACATAAACACCGGGATACTTTTCTTATATTTTTGGGTCTACTTCTTCGCCACATTTGGGTTGTTTGTGAATCTATAATACCCAATATAATTATGGTTGTTTACAGTTTTTATTAAAATGTCACCAAAAAAATAAATGTTTTTGAACGTGAAAGCCTTGCGTGAATCGTAAATAAATGGTGATTCAAGTTAAGTAAAACGCCGTAGCGTTTAAATGAATACCAGACCGTTTGTTAGTTAGTTATGGTATTTACATTTGACAAAAGCTAATTACATTTCATAATTTAATTTCAGTTACCACAGAAAATATCCAGCTTATATTGTATGCCATTATTACGGACGCAACATTTATATGACTCATATATGCCAGATTTTATTATCTAATTAAATAGTAAAATGCATAATAAACTATGTTTATTGTGAAAAAAAAAACTCATTTATTGCTACACTTACTTTAATCACTTCTGCATTTTTTAACGATATATGTAGTAATTTATTTACATAAATTGCAGAGAATTTCAAATATAGAAAATATCATTTTAATGTCACTAACAATTTAAGTGTTACTTTTTGGAAAAATTCTATTTACTTTGATTATTTTTATTATGTTATGAGAGTTTCAAGCATTATGATCCATTGAATTAAGATGAAAAATAACATTCATATATTTTACTTTATAACATTTAGTTATTTCATTCAACTGTTTATCTCATCCAAATAATTATCCAATTGTAATTGCCTATGGTCACAAATAATGTACGTAACCAATAATATGCTCTCTTTGCCTTTACAACTCGCAGATTTACAATCAGTTTTATTGCAAATCGATAGTATGGAAACAATGGAACGTTAAAAAAAACAAGTGTTGGGAATACGTATAAATATCAGAACTAACATAGGATAGATATCAATTGATTTCGAGGCACTCATCTCGTAAATGTAAATGTAAGTATATTATACGTTAAAAAACAATATTTATTTTAAATTTTTTCGTTAAGTATATGAGGATAAATTCAAGTATTAACTTTTAAACTTATTACATATCAAATGTTTGTAAGTTACCCTAACATGACTGTATTTTTTTACTGTCATTGACTTTAATAATAGTCCATATGCTTTAAATCTGATTAATAACTATTGTAACAATTCGTGTTACGAGTATTTTTGTTAATTTTATGTCTAAAAACTCTCATAATGACCATGTTTTATGTTCGCAGATGTTTTAAAAGGTAACCTTGTACTGTATTGTTAAGGCTTTAGCCGTACCTTTTTGTGCAACTTTGCCCGTTATTATTTTTAATTGGAGTTGATGAACGACCAGTATAAATAATAATACCACCATGATGACGAATCTATTGAAAAAAGTAATTTTGGTAATTCAACTTTATAATTTAACATTTGAATTAAAAACATTTAACCCTTTCGCCGCCAGAATTTTTAAGTGGTAAACAAATTCAAAATGGCGGCCGTTTATTTTTTAAACTTAAAAGACTCAAAAACGGCTAGTTTTATAAACCAATGATAAGAACCCTTTTTTTGCATGTGTGATTACCTACCACGTTAAAAAAGATCAATAAGAAATCGCTTTAATATTTCGATTTTTAATTGTAAAATGGGGCAAACATGACTAGTTCCTGCCTTATTATACCCCGGAGTTTTGCCGTTTACTTAAGGGACATCCTGTATATTAATAAGTATTTTGTTAACATCATAATCAGTGTTAATATTGTCACTTATTACATTCGGAGTTGAGTAAATTTTCCAGAAAATGTTTCATTTTAGATGTCGTTCACGCCAGCTTTTCTCGTAGCTGTCGCAGCATTGGCTGTATTACTTGATGTAAGTATTCTTGCAATAGTCAAAAATAATTTTATTTCAAAAGCTTGTATCTTATCTTGCATGTGGTATAGCTTTCATCGTCTAGGATTTAAAAGTTTGATTTGGTTGTGATAACGTTTACAAAATAATTGGTTCATACAAAATAAATACAGATTTGTTGTATGTTTTGAATTAATGAGGCCAAACGATGTGAATAGTTTGTGAAATTACATAAATGCTATCAAATTTAAAATGCAAATATAACTGGTATATAACAATCAAAGTCATGTAATGCCTACAGAAAGTCTACCGTTTACGATTTTTTTAAATTTGTTTTAAACATTTAAGACTATTTCCATTTACATCCATTGTCATACTCTTGTATTGCTTTTGATATTCACTAAAATTAAAAATACTAATCGCATTGCTTGTAACAACTAATTACTGTTTATTTTTTAGGGCGCACTAGCAGAACCCCGCTACCGTCAAACCAAACGTGACACATGGCCTGGAAATCACCATCATGGCATTTAACACCATGGGTTTAAGGAACCCCGACCGGGGGACAGCGGCGCTATACTAACGGGGCTTTCTATTAACTACAATACTGTAAACACAATCTTAAACAAAAATAAATGTTTAAACAAAATGTTTGCCTCTTATAACAACGTTTTATGTTAACTAACGTCCGCCGTCGATAATTAACACAATGTGAGTAGGCTTAAGTTATATTTACTTTGGTAAAAATCATAGTAATTAGAAGTAATAAAATGTAGCATCAGAATGCTTTTGGAAGTTGACATAAATTGTGCATAGATTCCGACACATTTAAAATGTTGATTAAAAAAACATGCTGGCACTACCCATAGCAACTGGGCGACACTAGTCTCGCTCAGTTAACATGTTATTTTAAGCACTGGGATATACTGAATACGAAACGTTGTGATTTAAAATAAAAATAAAATTATCTATCACAACATAAATTGTATTTGTAAATTGCACTAAGTATAGTGTTTTTTTTTTTAAATAAAAAAATTATAATTCAACTAACAGTTGACAGAACTACAACTATAAGGTTATGTGAACCATTTTTTAGGAATTAGTAAAAATAACAATAAATACATTCCTAGGCAGTGGTGACAATAAAACAAATAATTTGCAATGAATATGGACACTGCTTGAGTATTGCATATTCATTGATGTTTTAAGTTAAGTAAATAAGCAAACATGTTTCGGCTCTAAGGATGTAAAACCCTGCTCAGTCCCAATTGACGATGACAGCTGGCATGGACAGCAATACATAGCTTTCGGCCCCCAATAAACATTTCTGAAACAGCTTAAAACACAATAGTGTGGTGTAAATATAAAAACTAAGAGTAAGTACAATGATCCAATATCGTTGTGAGTCATGTTAGTGCAAAGAAAACACAAATTTAATGAAACACCTCCACATAATATCACGAATAATTAAAGCGTTACTTGTTGAAAGAAATGCAATTTACTTTTTTATGTTAAAATGATGTTAAGAGAGTTTGAAGCGTTATAATCCTTTGAATTATGATGAAAAAAATCAACAATGTCACTTTTAAGTTTTTTTATTTGTATTACAAAAAATAGTATGCAACTAGTCAGCAAGAAGCTTTGAAAATAAATCATTTTATTTTATAACCTTTAATTATACAATTTACCTGTTTATCTCATTCAAAAACACGATTGTAATTTACTATTGTCACAAATAATGTGTGTAACCAATAACATGCTATCTTCGTTTTTACAACACACAGATTTACAATCGTTTTTATTACTATTTGATAGTATGGAAACAATGTAATGTAAAAAAATTGCGTTAGAAAATCGAATAAATATCAGAACTATAATAGGAAAGATATTAATTGCATTTCAAGGCACTCATATCTTTACAGCAATCGTAAATGTAAGTACATTATTTGTAAAAAAAAAATGTATTTTTATATTTTTTGTTTCAAATATTAACTTTAAAATGCACTTACGTATAAAATGTGCGTTATTTACTCATAATGACCATGTTTTATGTTTGCAGATGTTTTAAAAGGTAATCTTGTACTGTATTGTTAGGTATTAGCTGCACCTTTTTGCAATTTTGCCTATTATTAATTATAATTGAAGTTGATGAACGACCATGATAAATAATAATGCTACTTTGATGATGAATCTATTGGAAAAAGTAATGTTGGTAATTAAACTTTATAACTCAACATTTGAATTAAAAAGATTTAACCTTAAAGCTAAGTAAACAGCAAACTGTATTTGGAAAACCAGATCCTAACGTACGGTCTACAGGTATAGCCTCTCTCAATATATAGGGTGCTTAGTAAGTAAACAGCCAAACTCCGGGAAATGGTTCTATGGGCCAAAATAAAGAGAAAATCATATATAACACTTTGTTCAAAATCGCTTCGTTAACCAGGTATCCGCCATTTTGTATTTTTTAATAAACATTTTATTTTGAATTTTTTTAAACTGGTCTTTATAAGATTTGGCAGTAGCCTAGGTTAAGGTAAAATATACCAATTTTATAAAAAAAATCATCTTGTTACAATAAAAAAATTCAAAATGGCGGCCGTTTATTTTTTAAATTTAAAATACTCAAAAACGGCTAGTTTTATAAACAAATGTCAAGAACACTTTTTTTTGTTTTGTGATTCTCTACCAAGTTAAAAAAGATTAATAAGAAATTGCTTAAATATTACGATTTTTAATTGTAAAATGGGGTAAACCTGGATGCCTTATTCCTTCTGGGTGCCTTACAGTTCCTGCCTTATTCTACCCTGGAGTTTTGCCGTTTACTTAAGGGACACCCTATATATTAATAAGTATTTTGTTAACATCATAATCAGTTGTTATATTGTCACTTATTACATTCGGAGTTGTATACATTTTTCAGAAAAATGTTCCATTTCAGATGTTGTTTACGCCAGCTTTTCTCGTAGCTGTCACAGCATTGGCTGTATTTCTTGATGTAAGTATCCTTGGAATTGTCAAATATAATTTTATTTAAAAGCTTGATCTTGCATGTGGTATAGGTTTCATCGTCTAGGATTTAAAAGCTTGATTTGGTTGTGATAACGTTTACAAAATAATAAGTACATACAAAATAAATACAGATTTGTTGTATGTTTTAAATTAAAGAGGCTAAACGATGTGAATGGTTTGTGAAATTACATAAAAGCTATCAAATTTAAAATACAAATATAACTAGTATACGTCAATCAAAGTCATGTAATGCCTAGAGAAAGTCTACCGTTTACGATTTTTTTTGTAACATTTAAGACTATTTCCATAAAACATAAAACTTACATCCATTGTCATACTCTTGTAATGCTTATGATATTCACTAAAATTAAAAATACTAATCGCATTGCTTGTAACAACTAATAATTATTTTATTTTTAGGGCGCACTAGCAGAACTCCACTCCCTTAATCTCACACGTGATTGGCCTGTGAAACACCATGATGGCATTTTAACACCATGGGTTTAAACCTAGGTGGTTCCTTAAGGAACTCCCACCGGCTGACAGTGGCGCTGTACTGACCGAGGATTTTATTACCTACATTTCATTCCATGGTTAAGATTATACCTTTTAGCAAATCAATTCCATCCATACTGTACAGAAAATCTAAAAAAAAACAACGGTGCGACACAAGTATCGCTCAGTTAACATGTTATTTTATACACTGGGAAATACTGAATACGAAACGTTGTGATTTAAAATAAAAATAAAATTATCTATCACAACATAAATTGTATTTGTAAATCGCACTAATTGTAGTGTTGAAAAAAATAATAAAATTCACACTAACAGTTGACAAAACTACAACTTTAAGGTTATGTGAAATATTTTTAGGAATTAGCAAAAATAACAATAAATTCATGCCTAGGCAGTAGTGACAATAACACAAATTATTTGCAATGTATAAGGACACTGCTTGAGTATTTCATATTCATAATTGTTTTTAGTTAAGTAAATACGCAAACATGTTTCGGCTCTAGGGATGTAAAAACCTGCCCAGTCCCAATTGACGATGACAGCTGGCATGGGCAGCAGCAATACATAGATTTCGGCCTACAATAAACATTTCTAAAATAGCTAAAAACATAATAGTGTGGTGTAAATATAAGTACTAAAAGATATAATAGTTATTTATACGATTTGAAGTGCATGGACTATTATTGAGTCCAATGATCCAATATCGAGTCATGTTAGTGCAAAGAAAACACAATTTTAATGAAAACACCTCCACATAATATCACGAATAATTTAAGCGTTACTTGTTGTAAGAAATGCAATTTACTTTTTTATGTTCAAATGATGTTAAGAGAGTTTGAAGCGTTATGATCCATTGAATTATGATGAAAAAAATCAACAAAGTCATTTTTTCGTTTTTTTTTGTATTACCAAAAACAGTATGCAACTAGTCAGCAAGAAGCTTTGCAAATAAATCATTTTACCTTATAACCTTTAATTATACAATTTACATGTTTATCTCATTCAAAATCACGATTGTAATTGACTAATCAAATCGAACGAGTTAGCGATGAGCTACAATCCCCAAAACAATAATAAATTTGACTTTTTATAAAACTTTATTTCTAAAAGATTTATAACTTGAGTTTTTAATACGTCACCAAGTTCTTTCTGATTTTGAACTACTTCGTAAATGTTTGGCTTTAATTTTATTACTCGCTATATACAATCTGACTAATCTAAAGTGAGTCGTAGACCTTCATTTAACAAAAAATTATTTTTATTTAGAAATTTGGCTTTGGTATAAGACATATTTACCTAATTATAAATAACAATCAATTAGCAATCTTTAGCTAAAATATAAGTTAAGACTTTGACGAATTATTTAAGACCATAAACAGTTTTGGGAGTTATTTATAATTGGGGAGACAAGTATTTAACTAAAGACAAATTTCAAAATAAAAATAATTTTATGTTCAACGAAGGCATTCTGCTCATAACTCATAACTCATAACTCATTTATTGAACCAAAATACCAGATACAAAATTTGCATTGGTCATGTCAAATAATAGAACTAAAATTAAAATAAACAATAGACAATGTTGCTTCAATAAAACAATATCAATACTTCTTACAACAACAAAAAAACTAACTAACTAAACCCATCAGCGACACAATCTCGAACACTGTAGTAACCCTTGGCCAAGAGTATTTTTTTGATTTGCTTTTTAAAGCTGTTCAAGTCCGACTCCAGCTGAAGGGAGGGAGGGAGGAGATTAAAAAGTTTAATGCCATTGTAATGAAAGTGTCTCTTGAAAAATGTAGTTGAATGAGATGGTAATTTAAGATGGGAATTGTTACGTAGTGAATAGTAATGTGTAAAAAATTTGTGATGAAATAAAGTATTGCCTCATTTTAAAGCTCCAAATTCTATAAGTTGCTAGCTCATTTTAAATTTGACAGATTTTATCAATTGATTAATAAAATTGAAGCCAAACAATAAATAAGTAATTAGAGACCACAAAGAACTTGGTGACGTATCCACACCCTTTGGTTACATTTACTCATCAGGAAATATCAAGTTTTGGATTAAACTTCGTTATTAAATTTATATGTAAACTGCATTCCGAGTACTATATACAAAAACGATTTAAACTAACGGATTTTTATAGATATTTATAATTTTTGTATTTAGTAATGTAATACATTTTTATTTAAGATGTTTAAAGCGTTTAGAAGTTAAATATCCATAATGGTCAAACCTGTTTTAAAAATATCAATTAAGGTATAGATAGCCACTCCAAACCAGTTATAACTAACCTTAAAAATTAATAAGCAAGGATAAGCTGAACTAAGCATCCTGAAACTAGAAGTTATGACTTTATAGCTTGGAAACATGTCAGTAGTTTATTTGAAGGTTTAACTAATGTTCAAGTTAAGGTTTAAGTGCGACTCCATCAGAATTTTGCAGCGGTATTTGGTTTAAAGCTAGTTTAGTTACATCATGAAACTGAGCATGTATAAATGAAAGTTTTCTATGCATTTTGTGTTTGGGGTTATTTTAACTTGCCAGAGAAAAGGTGCTGGCTAGTAATATGACCGAAACCATAGACAAAAATAATGAAATAATTCTTTCAATTAAGAATTATTTAATTCTTTTTGTCTACGCCGAAACATGGCGAAAAATATACAATTGATCGTGATTTTTAATTGATTAAATAATTTATGAAAAGGTATCAAATAAGAGTAGTACCAATGCTTGGTTCTTATATGTAAACATTAGTCCTTGAATGTTTATATATAAATAATAAACTCATATTGACCCATTTTAAGATGATGGTCATAACATAAGATGATGATAGACATGGTGCACTGCTTCTAGGTCGTAAATATATTGTTACCAGTTGGATAGCTCATAGGAAATAATGCTTATAATAATAATATGGATGATTTAAATGTTTTTACTATTCAAACGGTGAACTGATCCTAAAATCCTGTTGGCATTGCTTTCAATTTTACGTATTAAGCTCCTTTCATACAGAAACAATGGTGATACTTCTATTTACCTCTTGTCATATTTGGGTTGTTTGTGAATCTTTAATACCCAATATAATTATTGTTATTTACAGTTTTGATGACAATGTCACCAAAAAATAACTTTTTTAAAATAAATGACTTCACATAACGACTGAATACCGACGAATGAATCGTAAATAATCTGTGATTCAAGTAAAGTAAAACGTAGCGTTTAAATGAAAACCAGACCGTTTGTTAGTTAGTTATGGTATTTACATTTGACAAAAGCTAATTACATTTCATAATTTAATTTCACCTACCGCGTATAATATCCATTTTATTTTGTATTCCATTATTATGGATGCAACATTTATACGACTCATGTATGTCCGATTTTATTATCTAATTAAATAGTTCAATGCATAATAAACAATGTTTATTGTGCAAAAAACTCATTTAGTACTACACCTACTTTAATCACTTCTGTATTTTTTACTATATATGTTGTAATGTATTTCTATGAATTGCAGAGAATGTCAAATAAAGAAAATATCAATTAAATAAAAACACCTCCACATAATGTCACTAACAATTTAAGTGTTACTTTTTGGAAACAATTATTATTTACATTGATTTTTTTATTATGTTATGAGAGTTTCAAGCGTTATGATCCATTGAATTATGTTGAAAACAAAAACTAAACAAATTAGGAACGCCTACGCCATTCTAAAAATTTTTTTTCTGATAAGTATCTGAAACAAGCTCAAATAGCTCAGCAAGCTCAGCAACCTATATAATCATCAAGAAGGGTTGAACATTGAAACATCTTACTATATAACCTTTAATTATTTCATACAACTGTTTATCTCATAAAAAAATCTAATCGTAATTGCCTATGGTCACAAATAATGTACGTAACCAATAATATGCTCTCTTTGCCTTTACAACTCGCAGATTTACAATCAGTTTTATCACTAATCGATGGTATGGAAACAATGGAACGTTAAAAAAACAAGTGTTAGGAATACGTATAAATATCAGAACTAACATAGGATAGATATCAATAGATTTCGAGGTACTCATCTCTTTACATCAATTGTAAATGTAAGTATAGGCCCTATTATACGTTAAAAAACAATATTTATTTAAAAAATTTTCGTTAAGTATAGGAGGATAAATTCAAGTATTAACTTTTAGACTTATTACATGTCAAATGTTTGTAAGTTACACTAACATGACTATATTTTTTTACTGTTATTCATTTTGATAATAGTCCATATGCTTTAAATCATATTATTAACTAGTCTTACTATCCGTGTTATAAGTATTTTTGTTAATTTTATGTCTAAAAACTCTCATAATAACCATGTTTTATGTTCGCAGATATTTTAAAAGGTAATCTTGTATTGTTTTGTTAAGGCATAAGCCGTACCTTTTTGTGCAACTTTGCCCATTATTATTTTTAATTGGAGTTGATGAACGACCAGTATAAATAATAATACCACCATGATAATGAATCTATGGACAAAAGTAATTTTAGTAATTAAACTTAATAACTCAACAATTCAATTAAAAAGATTTAACCTTAAAGCTAAATAAAGAGAAAACCGTATTTGGAAACCCAGATCCAAACGTACGGTCTACAAGTATAGCCTCTCTCAATATATAGAGTGTCCAGTAAGTAAACAGCCAAACTCCGGGAAATGGTTCTATGGGTCAAATAAAGAGAAAATAAAACATAACACTTTGTTCAAAATCGCTTCGTTAACCAGATATCCGCCATTTTGTATTTTTTAATAAACATTTTTATTTTGATTTTTTTTTTACCGGTCTTTATAAAATTTGGTATGTAGGGTAAGGTAGAAAATACAAATTAAAAAAAAATCTTGTTTCAATGAAAAATTTCAAAATGGTGGCCGTTTTAATTTTTAAACTTAAATTACTCAAAAACGGCTAGTTTTATGAACAAATGTCAAGAACGCTTTCATTTAGCATGTGTAATTCACTATCACACTATACCAAGTTAAAAAAGTATCAAATGAATATAATAATAGCAAATAATAATACAACAAACAAATAATAATAGCTGAAATATTACGATTTTTAGTTGTAAAATGGGGCAAACCTGACTAGCTCCTGCCTTACTCTACCCCGTAATTTGGCTGTTTACTTAAGGGACACCCTGCATCTTAATAAGTATTTAGTTAACATCATAATCAGTGTTAATATTGTCACTTATTAAATTCAGAGTTGTGTAAACTTTTAGAAAATGTTTCATTTCAGATGTTGTTTACGTCAGCTTTTCTCGTAGCTGTCGCAGCCTTCGCTGTATTACTTGATGTAAGTATTCTTACAATAGTAAAATATAATTATATTTTAAAAGCTTGTATTTTATCTTGCAAGTAGTATAGCTTTAATCGTCTGATTTGGATAAGTTAATGTTTACAAAATAATTAGTTCATACAAAATAAATACAGATTTGTTGTATGTTTTGAATTAAACGATGTGTTTGGTTTTTTAAACAACATAAAAGCTAACACATTTAAAATGCAGTGAGAGCTAGTATACGCCAATCAAAGTCATGTAACGGCTAGAAAAGTCTCTTGGTTAAATTTTATTTATTTTTTTTCAAACATTTAAGACTATTTTCATAAAACATAAAACTTACATCCATTTTCAAACTCTTGTAATGTTTTCGATAATCACTAAAATTAAAAATACTAATCGCATTGCTTGTAACAACTAATTACTGTTTATTTTCAGGGTGCACTAGCAGAACTCCGCATCTCTCATTCCAGACGTGGACTATGGCCTGGAAAAACAAAAAATAAATGTTTAAACAAAACTCTTGCTTATTTTAACAACGTTTTATGTTAAATAACGTCTGTCGTCGATAATTAACACAGGTCTGGGGGTAGACTTAAGTTATATTTACTTTGGTAAAAATCATAGTAATTAGAAGTAGTAAAATGTGGCAACAGAATGCTTTCGGAAGTTAACATAAATTTTGCATAAATTCCGATACATTTATAATGTTGATTAAAAAACATGCTGGAACTACCCATAGGAATTGGGCGACACAAGTATCGCTGAGTTAACATGTTATTTTATGCACTGGGAAATACTGAATACGAAACGTTGTGATAAAAAAAAAAAATAATAATTCACACTAACAGTTGACAGAACTACAACTTGAAGGTTATGTGAAATATTTTTTGGAATTAGCAAAAATAACAATAAATACATGCTTAGGCAGTGGTGACAATAAATATTCTATGTAAAACATTGTAATGTATAAGGACACTGCTTGAGTATTTCATATTCATTAATGTTTTAGGTTAAGTAAATAAGCAATTATGTTTCGGCTCTAGGGATGTATAAACCTGCCCAGTCCCAATTAATTGACAATGGACAGCAGCAATTCATAGCTTTCGGCCTCCAATAAACATTTTTAAAACAGCTAAAAACATAATAGTGTGGTGAAAATATAAGTCCTAAAAGATATAATAGTTATTTATACGATTTGAAGTGCATGGACTATTATTGAGTCCAATGATCCAATATCAAGTCATGTTAGTGCAAAGAAAACACAATTTTAATGAAAACACCTCCACATAATATCACAAATAATTTAAGCGTTACTTATTGAAAGAAATGCAATTAACTTTTTTATGTTAAAATGATGTTAAGAGAGATTGAAGCGTTACGATCCATTGAGTTATGATTAAAAACAAAATCAACAAAGTCATTTTTATTTTTTTTTATATGTATAAACAAAAACAGTATGCAATTAGTCAGCAAGAAGCTTTGCAAATAAATCATTTTACCTTATAACCTTTAATTATACAATTTACATGTTTATCTCATTCAAAATCACGATTGTAATTGACTAATCAAATCGAACGAGTTAGCGACGAGCTACAATCCCAAAAACAATATTAAATTTAACTTTTTATAAATCTTTTTTTTTATTAAAAGATTTATAATTTGAGTTTTTAATACGTCACAAAGTTCTTTCGTCACCAAAAAAGTTTTTTTTTTATTGAATGACTTCAAATTACGACTGAATCGTAAATCATTGGTGATTCAAGTCGCCGTAGCGTTTAAATAAAAACCAGACCGTGTGATAGTTAGTTATGGCCTTTACATTTGACAAAAGCTAATTACATTTCATAATTTCAATTTCACCTACCGCGTAGAATATCTATTTTATTGTGTATACCATTATTACGGACGCAACATTTATATGACTCATATATGTCCGATTTTATTATCTAATTAAATAGTACAATGCATAATAAACTATGTTTACTGTGCAAAAAACTAATTTAGTGCTATTGTTATTACTAAGGTATATATCTACGCCTACTTTGATTACTTCTGTATTTTTTTACTATATACATTTTGTAATGTATTTCCATAAATTGCAGAGAAGTTCAAATAAAGGAAACACAATTTTAATGAAAAAACACCTCCACATAATGTCACTAACAATTAAAGCGTTACATGTTGGAAAAAATGCTATTTACTTTGCATTATTTTATAATGTTATGAGAGTTTCAAGCGTTATGATCCATTGAATTATGATGAAAATAAAAACTAAACAAATTAAGAACGCCTACGCCATTTTAAAATGTTTTTCTGATAAGTATCTGAAACAAGCTCAAATAGCTCAGCAAGCTCAGCAACCTATATAATCATCAAGAAGAGTTGAACATTTAAACATCTTACTATATAACCTTTAATATTTCATTCAACTGTTTATATCATCAAAAAATCTAATTTTAATTGCCTATGGTCAAAAATAAGGTATGTATTCAATAATATGCTCTCTTTGCCTTTACAACTCAAAGATTTACAATCAGTTTTATTGCAAATCGATAGTATGGAAACAATAGAACGTTAAAAAACAAGAGTTGGGAATACGCATAAATATCAGAACTAAAATAGGAGAGATTTAAGTTTATTCCGAAGCACTCATCTCTTTAGATCAATTGTAAATGTAAGTATATTATATGTTAAAAACCAAATATTTATTTTAATTTTTTTCGTTTTGTATAGGAGGCTTAATTCCTATATTAACTGTTAAACTTGCTTACTTATCAAATGTTTGTAAATTATACTAACATGACTACATATTTGGACTGCCTTTGACTTTGATAATAGTCCATATGCTTTAAATCTTATTAATAACTAATATAACTATACGTGTTATGAGTATGTTTATTTGTTTTATGTCTTAAAACTCTCATAATGACCATGTTTTATGATCGCAGATGTTTTAAAAGGTAATCTTGTACTGTATTGTTAGGCATTAGTTGTACATTTTTTTGCAACTTTGCCCATTATTATTTTTAATTGGAGTTGATGAACGACCAGTATAAATAATAATACCACTATGATGTCGAATCTATTGAAAAACGTAATTTTGGTAATTAAACTTTATAACTCAACAATTCAGTTAAAAAGATTTAACCTTAAAGCTAAATAAACCGAAAACCGTAGTAAGAAACCCAGATCCTAACGTACGGTTTACAGGTACAGCCTCTCTCAATATGCAGGGTGTCCGGTAAGTAAACAGCCAAATTCCGGGAAATGGTTCTATGGGGTCAAAATAAAGATAAAATCAAATATAACACCTTGTCCAAAATCGTTTCGTTAACCAGATGTCCACCATTTTGTATTTTTTTAATAAACATTTTTATTTTGTAAATTTTCAACCGATCTTTATAAAACTTTGTATTTAGGTTAAGGTAGAAAATACCAATAAAAAATTATCTTGATTCAATAAACATTTCAAAATGGCGGCCGTTTTAATGTTTTAATTTTAAATTTCTTGAAAACGGCTAGTTTTATGAACAAATTTCTAGAACACTTTTATTTAGCATATGTAATTCCCTATCGCACGATACCAAGTTAAAAAAGATCAAATAAGAAATAGATTAAATATTACGATTTTTAATTGTAAAATGGGGCAAACCTGACGAGTTCATGTCTTATTCTACCCCTGAGTTTGGCAGTTTACTTAAGGGGCACCCTGTATATTAATATTTATTTAGTTAACATCATAATCATTGTTAATATTAACACTTATTACAATCGGAGATGTGTACATTTTCCAGAAAATGTTTCATTTCAGATGTTGTTCACGCCAGCTTTTCTCGTAGCTGTCGCAGCATTCGCTGTATTACTTGATGTAAGTATTCTTGCAATTGTCAAATATAATTTTATTTTAAAAGCTTGTATCTTAACTTGCACTTAGTATAAGCTTTAATCGTATTTGATTTAAAAGCTTGGTTTGGATGTGATAATGTTTACAAAATAATTAGTTAATACAAAATAAACACAGATTTATTGTATGTTTGAATTAATGTGTCCAAACAATGTGAACGGTTTTTGAAATAACATAAAAGATAACACATTTTAAAATGCAATAAGAACTAATAGACGTCAATCAAGGTCATGTAACGGCTAGAAAAGTCTACTGTTTAAATTTTATTTAATTTTTTTTTATTTAAGACTATTTCCATAAAACATAAAACTTATAGAAAAATATCGATTTGACAAAGAAAAGAGAACCAAATATATTTACTCATAGAGTGTACTGATTTTCATTATACTTAATGCAACGTACACTTTTCAGTACTTGTATTGTTTTTGATATTCATTAAAATTAAAAATGATAATCGCATTGCTTGTAATAACTAATTGTTAATAATTATAATTTTATACAAATTAATTATTGTTCATTTTTCAGGGCGCACTAGCAGATCTCCCCATATCTCCACGTGATTCGTCTGGGAGACACGTTTACGTTTCCTAACCAATGGAACTTCCACCGGGTGACAGTGGCGCTGTACTAACGGGGGTTCTATTAACTACATTTCATTCCCTGGTTAAGATTATACCTTTTACAAATTGATTCCATCAATACTGTACAGAAAATCTAAAAAAAAATAATAATTTTTAAACGAAATGTTTGCTTATTTTAACATCGTTTTATGTTAAATAACGTCTGTCGTCGTTAATTACCGTAACACAGGACATGTGAGTAGGCTTAGGTTATATTTACTTAGTACAAATCATAGTAATTAGAAGTAATAAAATAAAATAACAGATTGCTTTCGAATGTTAACATAAATTGTGCATAAATTTCAATACATTTAGAATGTGAATCATTATAAAAATATGACGGCACCACCCATAGCAACTGGGCGACTCAAGTCTCGCTCAGGTAACATGTTATTTTATGCACTAAGATATACTGAATACGAAACGTTGTGTTTTAAAACAAAAATAAAGTTATCTATCACAACTTTTATTTGTAAATCAAAATAATAAGTGTTCCTTCAAATATGTTTGATAAATTAACATTAACTTTTCAGACGTTTAAAAAAATCAATTTCGAATATAAAAAGTGAATATTTAAATAATCATATATCAATGTATCAAGTATACTAAGAATAACTATAAGTATATAAGTATTAGAAGAAGAATAAGAATAAGTTTAAGAATATAATAAGTATATAAGAATATATCAAGTGAATATTAAAATAATCCCGACTAAGGTGTTTCAAGCAAGAAGTATTAATGTAAAACTGAATAAAAAATATTTTATGTACCAACAGTAATGAGAGAATAAAACCACTAGAAGAGAATATTTAAATTACTAATTAGATATGTTCAAATAGGGTTTTTGAACTGTTCATTAAAACGATCAAGGATAACACTATTTCTTACATATAAAGGGTAAATTGTGGCTAACATTTAACCAAGTAGCTTAGCTCAACATTACACGTTATGACACGATAGGTTTTCATGTCCAAATGAAAAATAACACTTCCATCAGAATGTAATTAATTTGAGACGAACTAACTACAACTTAGACCTTCAATACCATTGAGGCACCATATGAGACCTCTGTTTTGTAAAATGGAAACTAGGTAATTTAAACGCAACGTCAATCCCTGACAGTCAATTAATTACAAATCCCTACTAGTAGATGCAGCACTTGCAGCTGTATAGTGAAAATAGCATATTTCTTGTATCTGTATTATGACAACGTTTCTTTATCATGGTAATGAAGAACTACATTGAATCTCTTTAGAAATTATATACTATTATTGATAAGTCTTATTAAACAAAAATGTTTAAGTTAAATCGTATCTTAATACAAATATAACGTTGGCATACACGACTCATCTTAACTTATCTAAAAAATACACCAATAAACCTTGGTAAACCAAAATTTAATTCAATAACCCACCACCTTCTGCCAGCCTTCATGACCTTAATCCAGCCTTTATAATTCACCATAGTTAATTCAGCCTTCATTCTTCATGACCAGCCTTAATCTTTAATTTTAACTCATCTTAAAAATACACCAATAAACTTGGGTTAACCAAATTTTTATTCACTAACCCACCACCTTCTGCCAGCTTTCATGACCTTTCAGAAAGCTGGCGTCAATAAAAAAATAATACTAAAATTACGATTATTGATAAATATAAAGTTTCAAAGTATAAAGTATGTCAGTTACGGAACAGATTAGGAGGGTTGAATGAATAAATCTTTAAGATATTTTATGATATTTCAATATTTTGTCCTTAACCATCGGACAAAAAAACATAATTGCTGCAGCAATTAATTATTGCCTCAAGTAAAATGATAAGTGGTTTCCTACGCTTGCTTTTACACCATATAAACCTATTTATTAATCATGCTTTTGCAAAAATAGTTTTGGTAACTATTGTTACAAAAATAGCTTAAAGTTGACAAAGTCAAAATACATAATTATTTTCAGATATAGTTGGTCATTTTAATTAAAAGAAAAAAAAATAATGTTCAATAAAAAAATGAACTCCTTAAATAATGTGAAATAGGTCAAATACAATTTTGGTAAAGCTAAATAATCGGTTTTACCTCATACATTTATAAATGCTGTATCAGAACAATTTCCATAGTTACAGCAAGCTTGTACAAAGTTTACAATGTCAGGTGGTAAGCGGTTGCAACAATGTTGACTTCAATAATATTAACCAACATGATTCCGGTGAACCAAAAGCACTTAACCTTCCAACCTTGCAACGGTACAATAACTGCCTAGCAACTTTCTACTATATTACATAGCAATTCCTTGACAAATTTTCTTAGTAGCAATAATTTTTCAAAACACGAAAACAATGTAATATCTTATATATTTTGTTTTTGCTGTATGGAAATAAATTTTAGTTAAGGCCTACTATAAATTTCAGCACGTTTTAGACCAATTATATAAATGCAGTTCGATCAATGCAGTTTACCGTATTGCACTATGTAGTAAAATTTGGTGCATAGTTTTCTTCTCCGCAGTCACTTATTCATTTTATCATATATTTGCTCGCTTATACGACGAGTTGCATACACGAAAACTCATGTTTGAAATGCGTTTTCAAGATCTTCTTTGTTTGACATCAAATTATACCTGTTATTTCAAAACTTACACCTGTTAACTGTAAATGACATATTCCCTTTAGTCTAGTGAACTTTTCCCAAAGAAAACGACAATTCAAAACTCAGTGGCCAGTACAACACATACCAATTAATACTATGTGCAATAGACCAAATAATGGAACGATATTTATCAGTAGTAGGGAAAAGCCGGTTCTGGATCAACCCCGACAGACCAGGGATTCTCATCTGTTTACTCTTCCACTCATCGAAAAGCCGGTTCTTGACCAGCCCCCCAACAGACCAGAGATTTGCCCATTTTCGAGCTCGGCTGGTAGTAGTATATATATGTGCGTCCTACTTCGGGATCCAATATGGGCTCTTATGGGAATACCTCCCCACACCCTGGTTGTCGTTAGCGAAGAGGCTAGTCCTCTTCATGCCCTAGGTTGCTTCTTCCAGTATTATAAGAGAACGTGTATTGAAAAAGCACTGCTGCTTCTCATCCCTTTTTTGTGTATGCCCAGACTCTATATAGGACAACACTCGCCCGTGAAAATGGATGATGTGTATTTGGAAGCGTGCCAGTCCATGGACAGCAATACTTCGTTTTCCAATGCCTCTTCAGGAAACGCAGTTTTCACTGCGACCCCAGAAAGCGTGGTTTTCACCGCGACACCTGAAAGCGTGGTTTTCACCGCGACCCCAGAAAGCATGGTTATCACCGTGTCACCTCTGCCTGTCGATTCGGATGACGACGTGAGATCGTTTGAGCTCACCGACGAGGAAGCCGTTTCCGGTGTTTCCCCTATTGTCGGTTCTAGCTTACCCGATGACACTAAGGTGCAGTGTCCAATCTGCGGTGTACGTGTATCGAAGCCCTACTTAGGAAGACACAAGAAAACCAAGAAATGCTCTAACGCCGCAAGCGCACAAGAGACAAGAGCTGATATGGTGGTTGTTCAAGCTACTCCTCAAGAGAAGAGTTCACGTTACAGTGTGAAGGTAGCTTGTGACCGATGTGGAGAAAGTGTGTCTGTTGCGAATCTTAAACGACATCAAAAGTCAAAGAAATGTCTAGCTGCAACACAAGCTAGTGAGCCGGCTTTGGTACCTGACATTGCCACAGAACCACGACGCCTATCTAAGATTGAGTGTGATACTTGTGGTAAGCTTGTTACTACTTCGAACTTGGCCCGACATCAGAAATCAAAACGATGCCGTCCACCTGTGGATGTTCGCGAAAGCACTACCCCAAAAATGAAGACATGTTTGCTATGTGGAGTGTCAATGCTACCGGTTCAATGGAAGCATCATAAACTGTCGGATCGTCATATTAGCATGCTGAGACAAACTCAAAATATGGCAGGTGTGAGCTCCAGAAATGTTGTATCGATTGCTCCTCCTATAAACAATCAACATGCTGTACCTTCCACGAGTGGTGAACCTGTGAAACAATATGTGTATCCTCGAGCTGGTTCAACCGATGTGGAGGTGTGTAGGATTTGTATCAAACCTGTAAAAGTGTCAGAATGGTCTCAGCATTCCAAACACCATCTTCGTCCTGAAAAGCCTCAAAAGTCTAGTTTGGATATTAGGCGATTGGTCAAAAGATATCCGAAGGTTAAAAGGAGTGTTAATGTTCCACACCCAAGTATGGACAATATTGATCTGAATGCTATGGTGAGAAAACCTACTAGACCTCAAAGACCTGATAAATTCCTTCGTACGACCCCTCACAGCCCACTCCCATCAACATCAGCTGATGTTCCAAATGTTGTGGAGGAAATTACACATCAAAATCTCATCGATTCATTGGATGACATTCTAAAATACACTGATTTTGTGACAGACGATCAGTTTGCAGAAGCTATTGAGGAATTTGATTTTGGAATGATTGATGAACCACACTCTGTTGTGAAGAAACCCCGTAGACCTTCTCTTAAGCTCATTATTCCTTCTCCTTCAGAGCTGAATATACCAATCAGTCCTGTTTATCAATCTCCACTCCATATTCCTGACAGCCCATCCTATAATCCACTATCACCATTTACCTTTGGGAGTAATCCTCCTGGACTAACCCTTGGGGAAACGTCTGAAAGTTCGATTGATTTGGTTGCTCCCCTACCATCTCCAATTAGCCCACTACCACCAACACCGGAAGTTGGCGTAGAGCATGATACTAATGGTGAGGCTGATCAGACACCAGAAGATAACAACGCAGATGATTATGACAGTGGGTCATTGGAGGTAAGACAAATTGAGACAGCATTCAAGTCAAGACTCAGAACTTTTGTTATCGACAACAAGACTAATGTCAAGGATCCGACGTTGTTTTTGAACATGTGCACAGATTTGGTTGAAGAAAAAATTGAAGAAATGGTCGTGGAAAGCGATATAAAAGTCAACTTTGTCTTTCATGCTGAATTTCAGAGAGTAGCTCAAGACAAGAAAATAAAACAACTGATTAATTTCAAGACTACTAATAAAATTGTGTATCCAACAACAG